TACATACTCGTCTTCAGCGACGAGTATGCAGATCTGCTTGACTTTGCCACTACGCAGATCACGCAAGAACCTTTTATGTTCGAGCGTTGGCAACTGAGTGATCTCCGAAGTTAACTTCGGAGGCGCAATCAGATCAAGTGTATAAGCGCCTACACATGATCCGTTATTGACTATGACATTCAATGTCTCTGTCATTTCCTGGGGACTTATTCCCTCAGGCTTCGAAGGACTTATTCCTTCGTCTTCCCGGGGACTTATTCCCGCGGGTTTCGGGGAACTTATTTCCGCCGTATCTGTAATCTTGGGACTTATTCCCTTTACTTCCTCTAGCTGGGGTTGCGCAACCACAGCGAGATCCTCTACGAAAGACTCTCCAGTCGATCTAGGATTATCGTTTCGCTTAACCTGAGCGATCGATTGTTTCTCTTCTAGATGTTCCCCTCTAGGGATACATCTTTGTCCCAGTCCACCCGACTTATTCGAGTGGTGGACCTTCGGCGCAGCCTGTGTTTCCTCACAGCCGCCGGAACTTTGCTCCGAAGTGTAACCGTTTGGTACACTAAGGTTTTGTGCAGTCGTACTAACGACCGTACCACAAGTGAGGCCATCGCACTCACTCGTAGTACATCCACACGCTTGTGGACGCTCCAAAACGTTCATCAGATGGCCATCTGATGAACAAGCGGCAGGCATCGTTACTGTCCGATGTTGCCAGTTTACCCGTGGTTCGTACCTTCTGAGCCACGGTATTCCAAGGATGACATCAAATTTGTCATCCAAATCCAATACGATAAAGTCATCGTCGTATTGGGTATCTTCTAGCGTATAGTGAATCTTCACTATACGCTTCATGACGGTTACGGATGCGCCTGTCGCAAGACGTACCGTCATCCTCGTAGGAGGTGTGTCACATTCACTGAATTTAAAGTGACCATCTTCTAGCGATTGGCGTCGCACAAAATTGTTGGACGCCCCACAATCGACTAGAGCTCGAAGGGACAACTTATTCGTCACTTCGAGTTTCAAGGTAATGAGTGAGATCTCATTACCTAGAGCAGCAACGCACAATGTCTGTGTGTTGGGAGCAACCTTCATCAAGAGGCCTACAAATTCTCTTGACGTTGCTGGATCAGTAGGGTGCTCCGCACCTACTGATCCTGTCCGTTTTTTGACGGTCCATCCCGTTGTTGCGTCTTTGCACCAACTGCGGACCCTCGTCCCTGCCCCTTTCTCATGGATGGACGGTCACTACGCCCAGTGTCGCGAGACACTGGACGAGGGGCACTACACTCGTAAGCGTAGTGTCCTGTCTTTTGACATCTGTTGCATCTCTGCAACTTCTTGTAGCCTGTAGAGCGAGCCTTCTCGCTCTCTACATAACAGAGTTCCATCGGCTCTGGACCTCCGTTGTCATATCGTCTCGGTTGACGATATGATGTCGAGCTGGCGCGAGCCTGTCTCAGACTGAAGTCTTCCTGCTCCGCAATGGAAATGGCTTGTTCTAGTGAATCTAGTTCAAGCCGGAACAGGTGAGTCTTGACGGGACCATCCGCAAGACCCTGCATGAACACCGAAACCAACGTGTGTTCATCCACCGGATTGAAACTTATACAACTCGTGAGATGTCGTATATGTTGAGCGTAAGCGTGCACATCACGCTTACCCTGCTTGAGCTTCAAGAGTTCGGTTCGAGCTCTGAACTCAGCTCTAGGCGGTTCAAACGTTTGTCTGAGCCGCGACTTGAAGACTTCCAACGACCCAAACGCATATGGATCGTGCAGCTTGAGCCCCAGTGCCCAAGTCTTGGCACGTCCTGCCAGATTTGACTGGGCAAATGCAACTTGCATATCCCCGTCGTCGATGCGACGCGCCCTTATGGCGTCATCCAATTCGACGAACCATCTCAAGAGGGAGTCTTCTTCGACCCCCTATACTTTGAGATGTCAATCTTCAAAGTCTCGGGCCGACGCGAGTGCATCGACCCGCCAGCAGCAGCCTGCTGCTGTCTCAATAGTTCAAACTGTTGAGCACCTTGTTCTCTCAACAACTCTGCTTGTTGAGAACCTTGTTGGTGAAGCAAGGCTACTTTCTCGCGTTCTGCGTCAAGTTCATTTTGAATGAACTTGGCGATAGTAGCATGTTGGGCATCTCTATTGAGAGCCTCTAGCATGACGCTAACAGCATGGATGCCCATGGTCGAACCCATTCGTTCAACCGCATCCCATTCGACATCGCTCAAATGGGAGTAGCCGTCACGCGTAGCGTGAAAGCTTTGGTCATCTTCATCATCCAACATATTCATGTTGGATGTGAACGCGGTCCTTGGACGGACTACGAAGTGCTACCAGGTGTAACGGGGCACCCTGAAGCTTGTACTGGTGACAGTACAAGCTACTTATTCTGATAACAGAATAAGGCGGTGCCTCGTAACTTCACGTACACTCGTACGTGCAGAGGAAGACGGTAAGAAGAAGCGAGTACTTGGTTAGAGTAAAAAGTAGAACTGTATTTATAATAGTTAATGTCTGCAATAAATCACTATTTATCTTCATCTAACTATGTCTAAATACAAATGTGTAAATCAGTTATCTGCTCACCACTCATTGCGTGCGTCTGTCGTGGCGCGTCTTCGTTGGTTGATATAATGGCCTATATCAACCAATTAGGAACTACTTGGAAGTGCTACAGAATATTGTCCTTATGACAATATTCTGAGAATATAACTCTTACAGTTATATTCTATTAACAATTTCTTATAAATTGTTATGTAACGATTCACCCCGTTACATAAACCTCGTAAGCCCCGCTTTGTATGACGTCCCTACGGTTTGTCAGGCCACGAATCGGAAGCTAGCAGCAGTCTACTCGATTTTTGCCTGGGGCAATGATCGCTCCAGTAAAGTTACTGCCCATGACCGCACTCTTTTTAAGGAGACTAAGCATACGAGACATCTTGCATTCAGACGTTCGCATGTAAAACAGACTTTGATAACACGTGGCTGATTTGATCTCTTGCACTGAATCGAATCGGAAAGATACCGGTACAGACAGTATGTGCAAACTACTCGGTATCCATTCGGCCTGCGATTATATTTTACGGTAATAAGCATGCAATTGCAATTTATAAACGTACGCGGCTGGAGGTGATAGTCTCACGCTTGCAAATCACTTTGTAATCACCATGTGGTCGCAAAAGAGCAAGGACGTGTCAGCCGTGAGCTGTGACGAGAGCATGGTCCATTTGCGGAGCGCTGTGATCGTCCATCTTAGTCAGTGTAATCGTTGCCTTCATGGCTTGACCGCAGCAATCTTCGAACAAGCGCGAGTCGTTCGATGTAATCATTTCAATGACGCACCTGTATAGCAGACGACGTATCTCTTTTCGACTGTAGCATTTTGCTGATAGGTATGCTAACCAAAGCGCCACGTTTTCGCTTTCGACGCAAGCAGCACAGGGTGACAAGTGGAGGCTGACGCGATCGACGATTAATTCTCACAGCCAAATAGAGATTTGTCATTCTCGTAGCCCCGTCATCAGCACTAACGGCGAAACATGAAGATCTTCCATGACAAGGCGCATCGTTAGCTGTCCACCCTAGACGACTGGGCGACACGCCCGTCTCTACTTATGACTCGTTGCATGGTTGCTACATATTGCCACAGAGCTTCCGACATCGCGACTATCGCCAAACAAATCGTTACCCTAATCCCCTAGTGCGTCAAGCCAGTTCATGAAATTTGAGCTCTTACTGTTGGAGCTGGTCGATTCCATGAGGCCGCTCACGATACTCAATCGACTGACTAATTAGTAACGGGTTCCCCTGACGCCAGTTGTTCCTTGTCCTGCACTCATGTCTACCTGGTCACAAATGGAAGTTGACGAGCCACCTGCAGTTGTCGATACGCTCGCACGAGTATCTATCTCCTCTTCATCACCATCATCAAGTCCTGCTTCTGCAGTGATCGTACACAAACCAGTCGGACTAAAGTTGAGTCGGACCGCTACGTTGCCTGTCACGAATCAGTAGGCAGCGGGCAAAAGTGGCTTCGACTTCTATTATTTTCACGCACAGTGGAGCTGCTAAAGAAGTTGTCGTACAATCGTCGCTGATATCACTCGCTCACTAAACGCGGCCGCACCATCAAAAGCGACCCGGGAAAACGTCGCATCGGAACAGAGCCGCCGTCTTTGTGGCTATAAGTGTAATTTGATCGCTGTTTGTAAATACTTTTATGCGACCGATATTTGTATCTCACTTAAGTTCTTAAAATTACACTCGCTAGACTCGGTCCAGTCTGAAACCCCTCGTGGCCTGCTCGCTCGCTGTTTACAGTATAGTCGTGAGAAAGAAAAGCTCGAGCGCTGAGCGAGGAAGGTGTTGCCCCCGTACGCGGCACAGCGTGCTCCCGGTCGACTTCCCCGCATCTCTATCTTCTCCGCGCCTCTCTATTCTATCACGTCCAAGTCTCCGTGCTCCAATCGCGTCGCTCCTGCCTGCGCTACGTCCATTTCCGTCCCTCGCTTTGACTCGGGGCGGTATCAGACGCTTGTTAAGTTCGTTGCCATTGCAAAAACAATTCGCATCCAGTAGCCTAGCAACTCGTCAACTCGTCGAGTCGCTTGTGCCCTATTTTGTGTCTTACACTCAGTACGGGGGAGTACTTGTGTCTCTCTTGTTGGCCGGTAAAACACGATATGAAGCTGCTCGGGGTTGCTCTTGATTGAAGGACGCGAAGACGCTAACGTTTGTTTGTTTGTTGGCTTGTTGGTTTTTCGGACCTCTTTGTTAGGGTCTTTTCGTGGATTGAAGAACAATGGACTCGTCACATGCTTTTGTCGGGGATTTCGGTGTAAATATGAACCGAGGTGACACTCGATTTATGAACCAGTTTGACGTGGGGGGGGTACAAGTGCTGGTGTGGCTGGCTTGGATCTTTCGAATGGTGGTCTCGACTTTACGAACAGTACGAACAATTTGCTGACCGAGACATCGTCTCTCATGCTGGGAACAGGCTCGTCGACAGCAGGACTCATTGACTTTCCTGATGAGCTCAACTCGCCCACGGCATCAACAACAACAGGTGGTAGTAATAGTGGCACCTTGACGATGCCAGAAACATCGGTGTCCATGATGACGACGTTGTCAGCTGATGCCATTTCGTTCCCTGCGTCGCTGGCCATTGAGCCGCTGAGTAGCAGTGGTGTGACGCCATCGTCGTCAGCGGGTCTGAACGCCATGAACTTTATGAATACGACCAGTGCCAGCACTGCAGCGAGTAATCATGGAGACGGTTTGGGTCTTGACGTCAATATGGGGATGAACGTGGGTGTGAATATGGGTCTAGGTCTGGAGATGGATAATATGGGAATGGATATGAACGCGAACGCTTTTGGCATGAAAGACACGAATCAGATGATGTTTAACAACATGCAACAGCAAATGAACGTGATGAATCCTCAGATGTCGTACTACATGCCTCAACAGCAGCAGATGCAGCAGCAGCAGCACTACATGCAGATGATGCAACAGCAGCGCCAGTTAAACCTTCAGCGTCAGCAGCAACAGCAAAAAGCATTGCGCGAGCGGCAACGACAGGTGCAGCAGCAACAGATGCAGAAAAACAATCAGCAGACGCACCAACAGCATGCAGCGCAACAAAATCAACAGCATATGCTCGCGGCAAGTCACGTTCCGTCTCAAATGGTCGCGCAAAGTCACTTGAGTGGGGGTAACAAATGCTTGATACCAGGCGGGGACGCCCACCTGGGCGTAAACACTGCACGCTCCTTGCCTCCGACTTCAGATCCCGACGCTGGTTTGACAACTTCTGCAACGCGCCAACGGTGGCAGACATCAGCCGATCAGGCATTGCGCAAGGAGATGCTGAATCACATTATGCGGGTGTTGCAGAACCAAAGATCGAATGCCCCAGCAAACTGGCTACAGAAGCTGCCAGAAATGGCACACCGTCTCGAAGACGAGTGCTACCGTATTGCTGCGTCACGCGAAGAATATGCAAACACAAGCACTTTGCAATCGCGGTTGCGCAGCATTGTACGTAGCGCCCAGACCCACCAACGAAATGTTGGGGGCAACGCAATGCGACAGCCCGGCGCACCAAACCAGACGTCACCAGCGAATAATGTATCAGCGAGTTTAGCTTCATCTGGGACGCCGATTCCGTTCCCAGGCCAATGCGCCGTTGCACCAATGACAAATGGAGCAAGTTTGGATGTAAAACGCCTAGCTTCTCAGGCTATCCAAATGCCACTGGAGCTTCAGGACCTACCTTCACAGGTAAAGACTCCAGCCAAAGTGGAAGCATGTCAGGTTCAAACGCGCATGCAAGTAACACCTTCGGGGGTTGACTTTATGACAGATCGCTTGTCGATGACCAGCACGGGTGCTTCACCTGTTATTGGGCAGAACGATATGCAGAAAACCCCGTGTGCTAGTGTATTCAATGGAAATGGAAACGCTACTAGTTTTGGTTCACAATCAGCTACTTCTCCAGCATCGATTGCTCGTAACAAGTCGGCCCAGATTATTTGGCAGTTCAAGGCTAAGGCACAGCAAGTAACGTCTGCATTGGACAAGAATCAGACAACGGAGTACCACAATAAATTGCGACTCATGGTTCGTGAAGACGTAAAATCAGCTGGTTCAAAAGAAGTACTGCAGCGGCAACAGCAACGGCTGTTGTTACTACGGCATGCTATGTGGTGTAAGTCGCCCGAAGGTACGTGCGCAACTACACCGAGCTGTGGAGAAATGAAGCGACTCTGGGCTCACATGGGCGCCTGCCGACAGACAAACGCGTGCTCGTATAGTCACTGTATTTCGTCCAAGTACGTGCTATCGCACTTTCAGCAGTGTGCGAACGCCAAGTGTCTCGTTTGCCAGGTTGTTCGATATCCCGTGGAAGTGAAGGAGAAAAACGGTACGCTGATGCTAGATGCGGATCGTGCTTTGCAGCAGATCATTGCTGCAAGTCAGCGTCGACAGCGCATGCTTGCGATGAAGAAACAAGAGGGACTGCAGCAGCAACAAATTGCTCCGCAGGTGCAGCAGCCAATGCCTTTGGCGATGCCTGCTCATTTACAACAACCCCAAAGCAGCAATAATTTTGCAGCAATGAGTCTACAGCGACAACAGCAAAATATTGAACACACCGGGAACTTGTCCACATTAGCGGATGCCAACAGCAGCGTGTTGAGGACGGCGGTACCAACAGCACAGTCCTCCAGACCGAGTGGTATGGTGGGGAATGTGAAAGCATCGAATGCTGTGACAACCACGAACTCGGTGCAGGATGACCAGCGGCAGTTCCAACTGATCAAGCAGAAGCTCAATGGGCGTTCTCTTGAGCAGTTGACTGCGCATTGCGTGAAGCTTGAAAAATGGGTGGAAGAAATTCGTGCGCGCATGAATGCTATTATGAATGAATGTCGGCAGCTGCTGCATCTGTCAAACTCGACACAAGACCCGATGCAAAAAACTCAGTACGAATCGCAGGTGCAGGAAAAGCGCGTTATGCTTAAGCAATTGGATGTGAAGTTCAAGCAATGCAGAAATCAGCGGAACATCGTGAAGCACGTGATCGATGAGCGCAACGTTGCCACATCGATGTCAACTCGGAATGGTGCTGTTACATCGACTCAAGCGGTCGTAAATGCATCAGCGCCAGCGATGCAGCCTATTTTGATGCCTGTTCAAATACCACAGCAAAACTTTCTTCAACAGATGCAAAGGCCGGCTGTAAGTAGCCCCGTGGCATCGATGAAGCCGTCACCCGACGACCTGCTCGGTGAAGAAGATGCGGATGTGCCGATGAAGGTCGATGACAGCCTTCTGGTTGCAGGGAAGCCTCTGGAAATGCCAACAGAACTTCAAGACACAACTGCAACTCCCGTTTCAGTAGCTGCACCACTGAACACGTTAACAGCCGCACAGGAGTCGACCTGCAACCTCTCGCTAACAGCGCTGAATGCCTCTCGACCAGTGTTGTCAATCGATGACGCTGCTCCAGGGCAGGGTCAAGACTCTGATCAAGGTCAAGCGAAAGAGGTTTGTAAAGCGGACATTGCATCATCAACCTCGGGGTCGTTTGGTGTTACGGTCAAGGAAGTACCCGAGACGTCAATTGGCGATACAACGACATCTCCTGATCAGGTTTCTGTGAAGCAAGAGGCGACCGTCAACCCGCTGACGATGAACAATTCGAAGTTGAATGCCATGATGGTGGAGCATCGCCGAATGGATGCCAGTACAACTTTACAGCTACCTGCAGGTGCCGTAGGAACACCAAAAGCGATTATTGCAACGCATAGAAGTGAGGCGAATATAAGCTCCGCGGCCCCGGCAACACCAGCGCCACCAGCGTCCTCTGAAGTTCCAATGTCTGTGCTGAACGAGCTAAGTAATGCGGACCTAGCTTCTCACATCAGTTCTCTGGTAACAGGCTACAATGCCACAGTGTCTCCAGCAATTCTGAAGAAGAAGTTGGAGGCACTTTTGAAAGGCATGATGGAGCACAAGTTTGGGTGGGTTTTCAATACGCCCGTGGATCCAGTGGCTCTGAATATTCCGAATTATTTCAAGATAATTCGAAAGCCGATGGATTTGGGAACTGTTAAAAAGAAACTTGAAGTAGGTGTGTACAAGCACACGGAGGAATTTGCTATTGATGTACGCACTACATTTCTGAATGCTATGCAGTACAACAGCGAGGATCAGGACGTCTATAGTCTAGCGAAGGACATGCTATCCGATTTCAATGGTGAAATGCGCAAGCTGGTAGCCGAATTTGACGCTGACGAAAAGGCTGCCCGTGCGAAAGAGAGTTCGTGTCGATTATGTGGCATCGAACGCATGGTTTTTGAGCCGGCGGTTTTGTATTGCAACGGCGAGTGCAATAGTCGCATCCGACGGAACTGCTACTACTTCGTGTCAGCGGACAACAAATACCACTGTTGTCATCAGTGCTTCGCCAACTTACCCGACGTTATCAAGCACAACGAAGGTCGCCAGTACCAGAAGAACGTGCTTACGCGTAAAAAGAATGACGAAGTACACGAAGAGCCTTGGGTGCAGTGTGATAAGTGCGAGCGCTGGGTTCACCAGATTTGTGCTCTTTTTAACGGCAAGATTGATAGCGAGAAGAAGCCGCAGCTGATCAAGTCCGAAGGCAGCCAGGCGACAGACAGCAGTGAAACGCCACCATCGCCTTCTCCGTCCGCTATAAAGTCTGACGCCGCCACGACCACTACTACAGTCGTGAAGAGTTCTTCATCATCTGGCTTGAAAGGGACGGTCCATTCGATTACGACGTCACCCGGAAGTGAGTTTTTATGTCCAGAATGCTTGCTTGAGCACCGAAAAAGTGAACCGGAAAAGTACAAAATTGGTCGGCATGCTTTTAGTGCGAAAGATTTACCACGTACGAAGCTGTCTGATTTCCTGGAGCGACGTATCATCAAGTCATTGCAAGCAGAGCGTGAGGATGAGGCAAAATGGACGCAGCGTGACGTGAATGACGTTGAGACTGCTGAAGGCCTTACTGTGCGTTTGGTGTCAAATATTGAAAAGCAGTTGATGGTGCGTGATAAAATGTTTCAGCGGTACAAGGACTCTCACAAGTATACGTCGGAGCACCGCTTCAAGTCCAAGTGCATTTGTATGTTCCAGGAGCTGGACGGTGTCTCGGTCTTACTGTTTGGTATGTACGTGCACGAGTTCGACGAGCAAGAAGCGGACTGTAACTCGCGGCGTGTGTACATCTCCTATTTGGACTCTGTGAACTACTTCCAGCCGCCCCATCTTCGAACAAAAGTATATCACGAACTGCTGATCGCGTATTTTGATTTCGTGAAGCAACGTGGTTTTCATACTGCACATCTGTGGGCATGCCCACCCCTTAAAGGGGACGACTATATTTTGTACTGCCATCCAGAGGCACAGAAAACGCCGAAGTCAGATCGTTTGCGTGCTTGGTACGTAGATATGCTGGTGAAGGCGGAGGAAGAAGGGGTGGTGTGGCAAATCACGAACATGTTCGACGACTACTGGTGCAACGACAATACGCCATGTGCACTACCATACTTCGAGGGTGACTACTGGGTCGGCTTGGTTGAAGACTTGATCGAAAAGTTGGACGCCGAAAAACCGAAAAAGGTTGTCAATAAGCGTGGTTCCAAGTCGCAGAAGCGAAAAACTTCAGATACGAAGAAAGCTGCGAACAAGAAGTCCAAATCGAAGAAGGCGAAACGTCGTAAGACCGCGTCAGGTGAAGAAGTGTTATGTGATGAGGATGAAGACGACGACCAGACGCCGTCAATGTGCAATCGTACGCTTACTGTCAAGTCGCTGGACGCGGCTGACCGCAAGTTGTCGGATCCGTTGATGCATAAATTGAGCGAGGTGATCGAACCCATGAAGGACGATTTCTTGGTCGTGAAGCTAGTGCCATGTTGTCGGGTATGCAACACGTCAGTAGTGCAGGGTGCGCTATGGCGCGACGCTAGTGTGAAAACCGAGCATGGCCTGAACCCGAAAGTGGTGCAAATGGCGCTGTGCGATGGATGCTATCAAAAACTGAAGACAGTATCTGCTGCAGGTGTGTCGGCGGCTCACCACAGACTGCAGGTGCAACTACATGCTCTTACGAAAGAGATCGTGGCATTGCCAGAACGTTGCATTGATCCGGACGAGATCAATGACAGCGAGTTTTTCGATACGCGACAGGCCTTTTTAAGCCTGTGCCAGGGCAACCACTACCAGTTTGACGAGCTGCGTCGTGCCAAGCACTCGTCCATGATGGCTTTGTACCACTTAGGCAATCCGAATCCGAATGCCTATGTGTACGAATGCAACGCTTGCACACGAGACATTGTGGCAGGTAATCGCTGGCACTGTCACACGTGCCCGGACTTCGACGTATGCGATGCTTGCTATGTCAAGGAGAAACACGAGCACCCACTGGAAATGGTGCCTACTAGTGGCGCAGGTGCCGGTCTGGCACTGACTGGTGGCACTGGTGGCCCTGGGGGAGCACCGGATCTCACTCCGGAGAAGCGGCGTCTTCGCGAACAGCGTGCCAAGAACGTTCGCTTGCACATGCAATTACTGGTTCACTCGAGTTCGTGCGTAGATGGCAACTGCGGCTCTTCAAACTGCGAGAAGATGAAGGAGCTGATGCGCCACGGAGCGCAGTGCAAGCAGCGTGCTTACGGCGGTTGTACCATCTGTCGGCGAGTGTGGGCCCTATTGCAGCTCCACGCGCGGCAGTGTCGCCAGTACAAGTGCAAAGTGCCACGCTGTCACGATCTTCGGGAACACGTTCGCAAGCTGCAGCTACAGCAACAGCTTATGGACGACCGGCGGCGCGCAGCCGTCACGCAGCAGTACCGGCAACTGCAGAGCGAACGTCGACAGGAGCAGCAAGAGCAAGCTCAAGGCGATTCGCCTATGCCGCAGGCATGACCAGGCCGAGTGGTCTTGTCGTAAGCAGGCGGTGGAACTGAATGTAGCATAGGATAGGGCAACCCATACTTAATGTAGATGTGAGTGTCAACGTGGCCGTGCAGCGTCCGTCCTCGGCACGGCAATGAACGACGTCAATATCTGTCTAGATTAAAAGAATCCAGCGTCAACAAAAGACGGATAGCTCTTGCCTTCTTCTTCGCCTTGTCCTCATCTTCTCTATGCTTTCTTGGCTCCAAGCCGCTTCTGACGGCGACGGAAGTGTGAGCACGGGCGCTTGCCGTGGTTTGCCTTAAACATATTGCAATACACCAGAAAACACACAAAAAGCATCAGTACCTCTCCAAACTTATTCCATAGCCAAGAGCGACATGGTGAAGCACCTTCTTAGGACGACGAGCGTTCCGGTTCAGGAGTTCCATAGGAACAGGGCTCTCCGTCGTATCAAAGCTGAACCAGTTGCTAGTTGAGGGGACGCTACGCACACCCGTGACAGCTACACGAGCTGTAAAATGTATAGAGAAATCACGACAGAGAGGCAAAGTGTGTTGATACAGACAGCAAGTTAGCATGGTGATCATCTGTGGTTTGAACCCATTTGAAGGGAAGCAACCTGGGTGGATACACATGAGAAAACGACAATACTGGAGTAGGATGATGTACGATAGAAAGTGCAGGACTTACTGGCAAGGGATGGCAGGAGTGGGGCAGGCGCGAGCGCGCCCGTGGCCATGGACAGCAGGCGCGAGCAGAGCATGGCTGGTTGGATGGGTGTCAAATTGACAAAAAGGTGTGGTTGCGACTTGAGGGGCAATGTCGCGCGAAGGTGGAGGTTGTCGGGGCAACATTTGATGCAGATTTGTGAGCGCGGCGACGATGCCAGTGGAGCAACGTAAGCTCTTATGGTGCTTGGATAATTGTGGCAAAGTCGTTATTTCGTGGCTGTGGTTGTGGTTGGGGCGACACCAACTTCACGGTCTTTTAACATCCGGCGGAAAATAGGGACATTACTGCAAAGTATTGTTTTGGCAGTATAAGTGGTTGTTTTGGTCGCAGGACCGAGTTGCCGTCTACCGAAGAAGCCTGATCCGCTTTCTTACAAATGCTTCTTCGGAATTGATGCAACAATCCACTTCTTTCTCCTGTTCGTCGAATTTCTAGCACGTTCGAATGTGCGCGGGAGCTAGAGAACCATAGTTTAGTCCTGCACGTTACCCTGATTATTTCTGCCAAATACAGACATGTTAAAGCACATCGTACTGACGCGACTGTAGAGCTTCTGTGCTCTAGCAACGGCCCCAAACATTACGCAGCTTTAACTTGGGTATCGATCGATGAACGCTGCGACGTAATGTGCTACTCACATCCAATACTCTAGCGATCTGACTTTATCCATCGGATGTATCCAGTGCACCTTTGACCTTCTTTTTACCGTCGAATGAGTTCACGATCAGTCTGTCCAGCACGCAGACAATCCTCATCACAATTTTACTTGCCAAAAACAGAGCTCAGTCGGCCTGAGCATACGCTTGCTTTAACTACAGTTCTGGAAAAGACCGCGGATGGGATACACGTTGTCGGAGGGACGCAAACGATACTGAAAATGGGACACAGACGGACTCATGCAGCTACTGAAATGTGTTTCTATCCACAAAGCCGTTAGATTGGTGAACATCTTCCGTTTTTCGTGCCCAGTGGATGCTAACAATCGAACCATCGCAATGTGATGCTACACATTCACATATCTTCCCGGCTGACAACGTAGCAGCCGTGGCAGTATATAACAGCATAATGCAACCAACGAAAGCGGGTGACGTGAGTTTGTATTCAGCAAGGATGGACGAGAATGAAGAGGATGGACGAAACTGTACAAAGATAAGCGAAATGGAACCCATTCTCGATACAGTACGGTCAAACTAATATCGCAGCAAGTGTGCACTATTAGTTTTCCCCTTTGTTGCCTGTACGAACTACTTGTGACGATTCCTCTCCCCTCTCCAGCGGCAAGGTATCGAAGGCTTTTTTGAAGTCGTCCTTGAAGCAATACGTTATTCTATCAAGGCAATAAGGTGGTCAAGTGACACCCAATGGACTGCTGATGCGTCAAGGCTTTTGGTACCGATGAAAATCGAATCGGTGGAGCGAGTGCATGGATATTGCAAACATCAGATTTCGATCCATGTGTGCAGGATAATGGACATGAGGAACAAATCGGTATAAATTTGCCTTCTTTGATGGACAAATGCGAATAAACCATCGCAATCTTCTGTGCGCTTCAGAACCCTCTCCTTCTCGTCCTGTCTGTAAAAAAAAGCAATACTGACCAATCAAACGCATTCATCTGCTCCATCTTTTGGAATTTCGATCCAATGAAGCGTATCCATGCCTAAAGCAGCTTCGTCTGGCTCTGTCGATACCGTCTGTGTCCCAATCCATCGACCTCTCTAACCGGGCACAACTAGCATGTAATTTGCATTCAGTATCTAGTTATCCAAGTACATGTCCGTGGCCGCAGTACAGCCAGTGATACAAGACGAAATGATACAGCGCTTATTGGCTCGGGAAAATGTGGACGACCATCGACGGGCGCGATTTCGTGCGAGTGGTATCACGTCACACCGTCAATTGCTTCAACGGCCTCTGTGGGACGTCGCCCATGCCATCGATTTGTCAGTGCGTGAAACAGAGGTCTGGTAGTCCATCATTTCCACTTTTTAGGAACGGATTTACGGCATTTCATTATGAAGACGTGGTACTGATTTGTTTATTTATTTATTTATTTATTTATTTATTTATTTATTTATTTATTTATTTATTTATTTATTTATTTATTTTCTATGCGTTGTCTATTTGTTTGTTATTCCTCTACTAGGAACTCGTGGCAAAATTATCGATTCAACTGGCTCCAGCTAGTCGAACGGTAGGAACAAGCTGGAAATTACAGCATTTCCAAAAATGTGAGACAGTGTTATGCCCTTGCTCTCATGTGCTCTGCATATCAGGCGTTCGACCTGTTCGTGGAAAGCGCGAACCACCCGACGTTCTTACGCACAGGACTTTCGGGCATTGACCAGGCTCTAAATGGCGGTCTGCACTGTCGAGCCGTGTCTGAGGTACAACGTTGCTGCTAAAATTGATGAAAGTTGTAAGCTGACAAGGTTGTGTTTTTGTGTCAAGTTTGCAGGCACTGCTGGAATAGGCAAGAGTCAAGTTGTCATGACACTCGCGGTGGCGTGTGCACTGGATTATCCGGAAAACACGGTCATGTTCTTCGATACAGAGCACAACTTCAGCGCGAAACGGTTTGCAAGTGCTTGTCACGACGAGTGATGGGCGAACATTGACCGTTATGTGCTTGTCATGAGGCAGGTTGTTGCAAATTATTATTGCACGCATTCGGCAGACGAGCGCAAGTCGAGACGAAGATATCAACGAGCTGGCTGCAACCGTTGCACGACGCATTCGTGTTGTGCAAGTCAACTCCGTTGCAGCCTTTGAAGTCAAGTACGATGCCATTGCTCATCGAGTATCAAATTGCGCAGAGTTATCCAAGTACATTGTTTCTTGTGACGAGCAGGTTCAAGGAAGTGCAACGTGTCATGCACTTGCTCAAACTCAAGCTGTTGATTATTGACTGCGTGACAGCATTTTATGTCAAGGTAGCTGCTTCGGCCGTGTTTCGGATGCTATTGCAACTGATTCAGTGGTTTGATGCTTGCTGTGTTCAGGCTCATGGCTTGAGTCATGTACAGCGTCAGCACCAGATGCTACGACTGGTTAGAGACTTGAAGTAAGTCGATCGATTCGTATCGTCTCGTGGTTGTGGTGCTGAGTATGTTGCCGTTGTATGTAGAGCTTTTGCTGATACGTACCAAGTGTTCGTAGTAGTCACGAATCGAGCAACTACGGTTGAAGGTGACGGTAAGCATTAACTTTTTCACTGGCATGCCGTGGTGTCGTGCAAGACCTAACGCTTTTTTGCTGATGGCTGCAAAGATGGGTTGTACACGAAACCCCGGCTCGGCGATACCTGGGCACACTGCATCACCACAAGGGTCGAGCAAGGATAGAGACGTTGGCCTCACTTACCCTGCATCACTACTAACATACCTGTTGTGTTGCAGTTCGCCATGGAGCGGCATTCCCTGTATCGTGCCATAACCATTGTGAAGTCGTCCGTTGCGGGATATGTCGTACAGCCATTCCAGATCAAGGTCAAACCACGCAGTTCCAGTGTTGCAAGTGGATGCATTCATGTAACTTTCCTACATGTGTTCAATTGCAGGAAGGTGGTGTTGAAGCTGTGGAGGACGAGAAGTCTTCAGCAGCCTCAGAGGACTTTACTTTCCAGGACGAACTACTGAGAGCCATGACGCTTGGAGCTTTACCCACGGTAGACCCAGAGTGCACGCTACGATCGACACAGCAGAGCAATGCAGAGGATCTTGACGAAACGCCGTTTGACGAACAAAGCGACGCAGAGTCCCAGCTCTATGAGCAAGAAGAAGTGCAAGAAACCGAGCCTAGTAGCTTCGACATTGTGTCGGACTCCAACTCTGAACAAGACATCGATTCGTTCGACTGGGACGTGGTCACCGACATGTAACTCCATCGTGACCTCCGCCAAATCGATCAAAACAGCCTGCGCAAACCTCTACAGATGGTCAATGCCTTCATGGCGGGAAGTTTAGGAGAATGTATTGAGTCCAACGCACGCCCAGGACCTGGCAGCTTATGCCTTCAGAGCGTAACGACGCTTAGGAAAGTATGCTTCTTTCTTCACCTGCTTGGGCGTCTTGATCGACTTTTCCTGCTTTGTCAACTGACGACGAATCGCACGCGTTTTCTTGCGGCGAAGGTCCAGTGGAATGTACTTCTTGCCACGGAGAGCAGCACGGAGCTTGATCTTCTGGTTCTGGTTGTACACCGTGAGGACACGGGCGATCGACTTGCGTACGACGCCAATCTTGCTCAGCTTGGAAGCAGCGCCACCAATGGCTTTCGACACGCGCAGCTGAGCCAACTCCTGCTGGTAATCGTCCAGCTGACGGAGCAGCTCCGTCTTGCTCTTGGTACGAAGCTCGTGCGCTTTAATCTGGACTGCGAACACAATAGCGGCAATCGGTCAGCTCATGTGACTATGATAGGAAAGAGAGACGACGGATGCAAAGCAGCAGCGTCTCGAGACGGACAGCAGACAATGACGTTCATTGTCCAGCTCAATAATGGGTACAGTCGCTACTTGAGACCCTCGTTGGGTCGGAAAATATCTCCGGACAACGCCAAGGATGCGAGTCAAAAGTGGTAAGGCTTTGTACGTCTAGAGGTCTGCAGTCCGTCTGCACTGAGTTGTAAAGGCTCAAGCGATCGGTGGCGCTGCTGCTGCTGCATGCACAAGGCACGAGATTCGACTTACCCATTGTTTCCTAGCTGATGGAACTTCCCTTTTGTTGAGCACGGTGGTAGACCGACCACTGGTTGGCTGACAAATGACTGGTCGCTGCAGGGGTCTGCTCGTGACTTCCTGGACTACAACGTGTGATGAAAATTGGAGCAACATTCGCGGGCTTGGCGGACCGCATTTTAGTGACACTTTGTTGACACAAAGTGGTGGGTCCTGACTGTATTGACCTATCTTTTGAAGTGGCGTACGGACTATCTGAGATTTGTATCGCTTTGGCGGCCACCGATCCTGTAATGTGGTAACACCACGGCTTTTCAATTGAATCTACCACGGTAATGTCGACTAGCACATACAGCGCTACACAAGTCCTACTATTGCATAAGCTTCCGACTTGCTTGATGACAAACATCATGGCGGTTTGTTTCTTGTAGCTCTACTTTCCTAGTCCGATCTTCATTGACCTCGTTCGCTCACGACCTTTTCACGCATCCAACACTTTTCACTATCTCACGTCTCCACTTGTCAACTAGCCGAGTTCAACCAAACAAGATGAAGATCTGTAAAAACGTGATGAACATTCCCACTAGATCCACACCCCGCTACAAGCAAATCCAAGTACCAATGATGTCCAGTTTACAGCATTTGAAGCAGCACCAGCAGAAAAATGGTCCAGCCTGTCAAAATATCTTCGTTTTCGCACGTCCATCATTACATGGCCGTCTCAACTCATTTATCCTGTGTCGTCGACTCTATCAAATCTCGTTATCTTTTACGTCGCCCTGCAGGGTTCGACAGCTTGAGGTCCCCGACACCTCGTTTCTTCCGTCGCTTCCCGTTGCTAAATGCTGAATCGCCATCATCCACAATATCGCCACCTTTGCGCTCACGAGCTCGCTGCTGTTTCCTTAAATCAGCCTGAGGCACAAACGACATCTCGCGCATGTACCCACCACCTGCTGTCTCCTTTTTGAATGCACTGCGCTCCTTTTCGGTAACGCGCTGCATCCGTAGTCGCTCAGCGAGTGGCACCTTAGCCAGCTGCTTCTTCTCACGCTGGGCAGCTCGATCCCTCGATGAGCCAAACGTCATCAGATCACCCATCTTTTCACCTTCGGCAATCTCGTAGAACTTGGGGGCTCCTTTTCGTCTCCCCTTTGGAGCGCCAACTTGATGCGTCCGTTTATAGCTATCGTCCTGATCTTCCTCGTCGGAAGATTCGTCACTTGGTCGACCTTCGACTTCCACATCGTCGTCCTCATCGACGCGTGCAAAACGACCGCCCACGTCATCATCTTCGCCCTCGTCATCGTCAGTAACAGCATCGCTGTCCATATCCTCCTGTTGCTTCCGTTGTTGCTGCTTCGAACTGGCAGCGTTCGGATGGAGCATACGATACGTCTCGCTCTCTTCATCCACTTCATAGTCAGTCGATGTAAACATCCGCGAAAACCGTTCGTCACCTAATGGGTTCGACAGTGCCTTATCGGCATCAACATCTTCGACATTGATCGCCTTTGTATTGTTCTTTTTGTTGCGTTTGCCTTCATTCTGCAAAATGCGCTCAGCAGTGGCGCGATTAATCGTGGGCAGCCGGCGTTGAATGGTGATACGGTTGCTATGCTTTGCCTCGACTTTCTCGACCAGTTTCTTCTTACGCCACTCGTCGTAGGCAAACGGCTCGGTTACAGCCTTCACCTTTTTGTGCAAACGAGCATCCATGAAGAAACCGTGCATGTAAGCCTTGAGCAGTGGCGTGCCCACCAGGTGATCCAGTCCCAACGAAGCAATTTCTGCACGTGTAACGAAACGGTAGTCGTCGTACACCGTGGCCTGTGCCTCCTCCTCGAGCTCTTCAGTAAGCGAGTCCAAGAACGAACACCACTTTGGAGCGATGCCTAGCTCTGGAATATAGTAGCTCATCACGCGTTCTTGTTCACCAGCCACAAGCAGCACTCCAGACTTTCCCTGTGCGCCCTCTACAATACATACATCCTTCACTGCAGCAGGCGTTTCCACATTCGTAAACACAGCACCATCTTGACGGTCCCAGATCTTGATCACCTTGGCATCCGATGAAATTACCTTCCGAGCATAGTCATGGAACTGCAGATTCACAATTGGCAGTCCGTACTGGTGACTCTTTTCTAGCAACGGTCGCGTCGAGCGCAAGTCGTACAGCAGACACTGTCCTTCTGACGTACCAACGCCAAACGTCAGTCCATCGTCGTCAAACCTCAAGGCGGTGATCTCCACCTGCTTGTCTGCTTTCGACCGTGCACACTGCGCTGCAACATCCAGACTGCCCACCCGTTGCTGACTCCTCGAGTCAAACATCTCCACCACGCCGTCTTCACAGCCGACACCAAGTAGCTGATGAATAGGGTTCAATTGCACCACATTTGCTGCTGACGATTGCGACTGAAGCTCTAGTGGCGATACGAACCTGCCTTGGTCTAAATTAATCCGGTACACTTCCGAACCTGACGCAGCCACGTACAGCTCGCAGTTCTCTCGATGGTACGTCATATCACGACCAAACTTGGGAATCCGCAAGCTATAGTGCGCCCCATAGGGCGCGTGGAACGTAACCGACCGGTCAGCCTGGAGGAACGCGAGCTTGCCAAAGTCCGACGAGAGCACCTCAAACTGCACCACTTCAGCATCGAGCCCGCGCTCAAACTTGAGACTCAGATCCCGCACATCAAAGACCTTGACCAATGGTGGGTACACTCCTGTAGCGACGACGAAATGCCCGTCGCTAGACATTCGCACACGCTGACAACTGGCTGGAAAGTGAAAGTCCTGCAGGAGCTCCACCCGTCGACGGTAGTCCTCGTCCTTGGCCAGCGCTTTGCGACTCCCGCTTTTTTCTGCCAGCCATTGGGGCAGCGTTTTACCCGACGACAAGTTGTAGATCTTGACGCCGTTGAGCGAAGACGCCGCGAGCGCTGCCATGCCGCCGAGTCGAGAGATCGTCGTCACGTAGTGGTGGGGGAAGTCGCGGGCATTGGTGGCCAGCCACTTGCGTCGTTGTTGTTGATTGGTTGAAAAGCAGGAAAAAGGCGAGGCAAGCTCAGGATTGGATGAAATCGAGTGCGATCGATACGAGCCAATCAGGACGCTTGAAAGGTCGTACTTCAACGACCCCGGGTATACCAGCGACTTTGTTTTTCAAGAGCGACGACGACTGACATTCGCTTGCAAATACAGTGACGTAACAGCCAACCAATCTGGTTTATTGGTTGATGATATTGGATGGATCCTACTTAATCACTTCTCTACGCCTAGCTGGGAACAATCTGCTGGATGGATTGTTAGATCGATGGAATCAAGATGAAGCTTTGGATAGGCACGAAAGCGACTGCGCAACGCTCTCAAGTGAACTCTCGAGACTATCTGTTCGAACCTGAAAAATGTCTACGGTTCTTATCGCTTCCTGGCGTGAGGGATAAACTGATTGGATCATGTGCCGACGCTTCGCGATGATGTGGAAGCGTATCCCTCCCACGTTGAAGGACGAAGGAAAGTTTTGCACTCTTACAGTTGAAAGAGTGCAACAACCACGAGTAGCTGGTGCTGTTTGATGGACCTCGGAGATGCTGCATTCTAGCACGGACGCTAGTCCAGTAGCATCTGCACCAATGCTTCAAGAACCAGGAGCTTGATGTGGAAGTTGGCTACGTTGCAGGATGCGCTGTTGTCGCCATACTCATCTCCATTAAATCTACACTCAACATCTTCTTGAAGCTTTTGCTGGGCTTGCGAAGCAGTACGCCATTTACGAACTAAGTGCGTTTACAACGTCTACTACCGCTTACGAGCGTTTTGGGAGTTTTGGGCGACAACTAAACCGTTGAGCTGTGATAAAAGCTGCAAATGTCTGGCAGGCGCTGTCAATCTCAGGGAGATCGAGTAAAGCTGAGTGACAAACTGATCTAACACCATAGTGAAAATGCTACTGACTGCTGCTTAGGGACGTGACATTGAGGAAAAGCTCGCTGTACTTGCTGAGCGAAACCAAAACCTGACAAAACCACGAGTGTTCGCTGATTTGAGTGCGTCGACTCACGGAATTATGGATGAAGAACCACCTTACTGTGATTGTCAGGAAATGGATCGCGTCAAGAACATCTTGAACAGTTTTTGCTGATGGCTTGAGCATGAAGAGCAGACATTCTTGCTACGAATTGGTATCGGAAAGTCTACCTACTAGTACCATGTGCAGCAGTCGAGTCCTCTGTGCTGAGTTTCTATGGCGATGACTTACCAGTCCTAGTGTGACCAGCTCACAAAGCTGGATACTGTTAACCAATTCGTACGAGGAATCAACAGCCTTACCGGTATGCCTGCGAGCTTCGCTAGCAGTTTGGAACATCGTGCTGCCGAATATAGCAGACGCGGCCAGATCTTACAAGACTTACCGCATGACCCGCACAGCTGATGCGGAAGCCAGCAATGATGAAGGGATCCTGCAGATATTCAGTATCCCGTATCACTTCAATGTGCTCAAACGGTGAGGTGATGATTTGTGACGACTCCAACATCAAGAAATAACCGTGATGCATCCTAGTGTCGATGTGGTCGCGCAAACGCTGATTCGATGTTTTCACTTGGGTCTCGTACACGCTACAGTCTCAGCAGAAAGACGAACATGTCGTCCACCAACTACTCACGGAACAAGCTGGTAGGATCAACCTACGTCGACTTGATCGAAGACATGCCACCCGCCTGCTCGACAAGTTTCTTCGTCTTGGCACAATACTCTTCGTACTTAGCCTCGTCCTTCGGGATACCGTTATCACCCTTCTTGTACATCACGGCCAAGTTGTGGCATGCGGGGGCAAAGTTGGCGTCACAAGCTTTTTCAAGATAGCTCTTGGCCTGCTGAACATTGCGCTGAATCGGACTGTCTACTCCCGGGGACAAGTACATGCTTGCCACGCGGTTGCAGCTATTGGCATCGTCGCGTTCGCACGCTTTTTTGAACGCGGCTAGACCCTTGACGAAATCCTACACGCACAAGTAGCACCACCAGCACCGATTCCAACGTCAGCGCCGAACTTGCACCAGCACCGTTGACGCCTAAAGCACAACGACCTTTTCACAGCCAACTCCTTGCGTACGCATAAAGCCCACATGATGACAACCAGCAGCGTGGCTTTTGGCACATGATTTCTCTGCCAACAAGTTTGCAGTCACCTTCTCGTAAGTTGCTGCAATCGAAAAAAAAATCTGCACGCAGTACTGATTCAACCACCACTTCCTGACTCACCAAAGAGCTTGAATGCTTCGACATCGTTCTGCGCTGTCCCTTTACCGGACACTTCAAAGCAAGAGCGATAAAAATAGATGTCAGATACATCACTAAGTCACCTGTAAGAAGAACCTTAAAGCGAAATATAGCAGTCAATAACACACGCTTGAGTCTCCCGAGATTAAAGCACGAAGCCGGGAACCCATTCTTGGAACAGTTGAGCTCATACATCTTGGCTGCACAAAGATGGCAAATAAAATCACTCGATGAGCCAACTGTGTGTGCTTGTTGTTACTAAATCAGTACTTTTCGTCACCGGCGTCCGTATAGTTCTTGTCCACGACCGCCAGCCACTCGCCCCAACTGTGACACGCACTCGCGTCGCCTTCGCCTTCGTTACAATTGGATCGAAACTCGTAGTGACGATCTTCTAGCTGCTGATTCACGCGCTCCACGTCCGCAGCGCTGCCGTCGCTGGCCTTCACCATATTGCTCCGCTCTAAACGACTTGTCAACTCTAAATGAGCTCTTGGAATACGAGATGGCTACAAACACGTCTCGAGGAATTCGGCCCTCAGTAGATGGTGGACCAATCAACGGTCGTGTCTCGGTGGATCTGAATAGTGCTCCACACTGTATTTTCGGCGAATAGAGCTCCTCATCAACTCTAACACGGCCACTCTCTATTTTAGAGCACACGTAATGCCTAACGAGAAAATATCGACGCCTCCTTATTCTGCTTACGCAGCTCTAGACTGTGGTAGTAATGTGTACTGTAACAGAATACCACTGACCGACTACGTAGCATTGTTAATCGACTTGCAACTATTGAAACGTGCATTGACAATAATCATCCACGACGTCATAGATCCGACAATCCCTTTGCTATGCCACTGACCCATAGTCGCTCCCTTTGGTACTGCTGTCCGCACTTGAAAACTTGATGAGGTTCGTGAACTCATCGATCTCGGGCAATGAATCCTGTTGCATCATCGCTTGATGCGACGGAGATAAACGGCCTTGATGGAACGAAAAAGTGCTTTGAAGTGGCGCGGGCTTGAGCTTGTTCAGCGAGTCCCGTTCACCAGGAATAGCGATGGCCGGTAGAAGCGTTAGACTAGAGCCACCCGAGAGGAAGTAGTACTGACTCCGAAGGAGGACTGTGAGTTCTTCTTCGATCTGCAGCAACCGAGATTCCAGATCGATATCGTTTGCATCCAGTCCAAACGGACATTCGATCTCCATAGCGACTTCATCTGCCATGAAGAGGAACGTGCCCCACATAAAGACCCACAGTGGAGTGTACAAGCCCGACCTTGGCACAATCACAAAGGTGTAGAGCAGCATGTACGCGCTGAGTAAGAACTGCAGGTACTGCATGTAGTTGAACGGGATCGGCACGTTGGCGATGTTGAACACTGTCGTGTACAGATTGGGCAGTCGCGCGAGTTTGAGCTGCAAGCTGTTGGAGTTCTGTGGCGTCAAGTGCCCTCGAGTTGTCGCCACTTGCACAAGTCTCTTGAGCCAGAGCTCGGTAATAGCAGCACGCAATTTATGCGGTGTACGACCAACAACTGCCCCGTACGACTCGTCGTTCTCAACTCGTCGGTAGTGCTCCGAGCCACATGCGCACAGCTCGTCGTACTCGGTGGATGTCAACACCCCGGATTCCTTCAGCTTTTCAATTCCATCTAGCCCACGACAGTCATGAAACACAATCGCAATGTACAGGAAAACGAGTCGGCGCAACTCCGTGAAGAAGGTGCACTTTTCAATAACGTCTTGAGGGATGGTCGGTACCTTTGAGTGAACCGAAGATTGAAGCGTTGGGGATGAACTCTCCTTCTTTGCAGTACTCTCGTCTATCTCCACTGCGTCAGTTGTTGCGGTGAGCTCCTCCTTGATCGTGGTGCTAACATATGCACAGCCAGAGCTCACGATGTCACGGGCGGTCTCAGCTAGAGTCCCTACCGCTACAACTCCAGCACGCCACTGGTTGAAGGCTGAATTCATGCGGAACGAAATGGTGAGGCCTAAGAACGTATTGAAGACTGTCAAGGAATCCGTGAACGCTGTTGACGCGCGTGTAGGAACTACAAACGGGTAGTAGTGATTCACGATCGCAACAATCAAAGCGATCATTGTCATGAACAAAGCGCGGAGTGGCGCTTGGCCGTTTAATGCCGACCCATGCCAGCGCATGAGCACTCCCCATAAGGGCGCTGTGTCATAGTAGATCATGTGACACTGGAGTCAATGACTGGGGCGCTGCAGGACTTTTCCGAAGTGATGCATAGCAGAAGTGTCGGAGGCGACGGTCTGGGTGGATCGGGATAGTCGAACGTTTCGAGTTGTCGTCCTGATGGCATGACAGCGACAGTAGATATCATGCAACCAAGAAGTAGGAAGCCCGTATTTGTTGGCTGCACCATGCGAATTGACAGCAAAGAACCAGAAGCCAAGACACCACTGGCATTACCGTTCGGTTCACGATTGCATAAGGACTACTTGTAGTCGAAGTTAGACACCAAAGTGTGCGACACTGGTTTCAATTCACATCCGTAGATGCTGTTTGATTGTAGGTTACGACTCCTGCAGCAAAGATATTCCTCGCCGCTTCTTCTCCATTTCTTGGTAGTGCTTCATTGATCAGGAGAGCAGGAGCGGTAAGCTTTGTTTGCCAGGTACGCGATGCAGACGATCAGGCCACAAACATAGCTCCATTGCCAGCGCCGGTCCGGACGTTGTTCAATAAAAGCGCAAGTAGTTTGCATTGTCATTCACGTCCCACCTGCGTTGTTTGCGTGACCTCGAAAGTGTCAACATTTGCCGCATGTCAGACAATGCTAACCCGTTCAGCGAACCGTCGGGTCGGAGTCAGTTGATTCCATAACGGCGTACCTGGTCAAGGAGCGTGATGCGGACGACAAAATACCGCACTAGCCAGATCTGCACAGTCAATGAATGTTTCTTCAGTCATTCTCTCCAGTTCACACGCAGTTCATGAACCGAAGAACCCGATGCAATCGACCAGCGTCAACCTGCTGGTCGCTGCAATTGTGCGATGTTACAACGCCATCGGTGCACGGCCTCACGTCGTCTTCTTCTTTTCTTATTGAATATGGTGGTGACCGCCTCTTGAGTTGCGTGCACACAAAGGTGGCATTGTAGCGACTCGGTGCAAAAGGTGTGTCAGCGCACCATTTCCATTTCCGTGCCTTTGCTGCAAGTGCAGGTCCAAATCGTCAAACATCTTCCACAACAAGGCCCCGAACGTCACGAAAATACGCATACTGCAAACGTCACGTACAACATCCGCTTGTCCATCTTAGCCCTCGTAACATGAGGATCCCTTCCTATCAAATCCGGTCATGAAATGCACGCTTGACATCCTTTACTGTCGATCTCCAGGCGTCAACAAACAATTTGCGCACAAGAAGGTCACCGCTGCTGTCATTTGACAATGCTTATAGGCGAAAGACACTCACGCCAACGGAGTTGCTCATAGTTTAGTACTTTCAACACTGTCGTCTATAGCTTCGTGACGGCCACGATAAACGACCATCAACAGCGTTGCAGCAGTACACCGCCCAACAGTGCATAGTAATGCTGCAACAATGAGTGCTCGACACTTTCTATCCATAACCGAGTCCAAACAGAAACGATTCGTACGAAACATTGCAATAATGCACTTCTTGCTGCAGTCGTCTAGCTGAGTGCTGTGGCGCAATTCCAGAGTCGGAATCACCGCACAGACATAATGCCACACCCTTTGGCAGCAGAAACGGGAAGACCAAAGACTCGAGTGGTCCAACTTTCTGTAAAAACTATGCGCTGTGTGTACGCAGGTGCTAGTAAGAGCGAACCAAATGACAAGAGGTGGAAGCGTAATTTGCCAACTCTGCCGGCATGTGCGTGTCTACCGTGCAATTCCCACTTGCAACCTAAAGTACTAAACCCTCTATAAAAGTTCTCGACTGTACGAAATGGAAAAATATGTACGACCACCACCTCTCTTGTCCAAAGCAGCAGACCTCGTATTCGGCTATTTCTGTAGTGCGTCCTTTTGCTAATTCGTTGCTATCAACTCTCGACAGGTTTTCGGGCACCCCTTGGCGTGTCTATTGCATGCTTCTTTCCATCCAGGGGTAGGGGCTGGCAACTGGTACAACTGACAGTGATTCGCTAAAACTCTCACCGCCTGACAGTCCCATCGAAGAAGGACGTTTTTTGCCACAGTGTGCGGAAGAGAGTGAGCGAGGTCGTCCCAGTCGTCCACATCGCCCACGCCCTTGTCTTTGCAGGACGTCGTACGTTGTCTCCACCAAGTACGTTCTCGACTCACCGACGAACGAAGCGCCGTTCTGCCCACCCGCAGCAGCAGCGGCAGCAGCGATAGACAAGCAGAGAAGGAGGAGACGCAGTGAGGTGGACTCGATCGACACACTCCCAAAAAAAACCTCGGGCTTTCCACGGACTGTACGTCCCAAAATTGGGTTTTTTTATTCTGCGTCTCTTTCCGTGCTGACATTGCGCACTTTTGTGTCGTCGTACTTTGTACCCATATTCCTTCTTGTGGTTATTCGTTTTGTAGATGTTTAGCCTCACACCGCGGCAGTCGATGCAGTCGGTTCTCCAGTCCAGTGGCCGGAACAGCTCTGTACGCACGAGCTCGGCGTCGTCGTCCTTTGTCTCCACGGCCTACGGCAATTACCAGAGCGGCGGCAGCTCTCGCAACGTGGACGAGTCGCTCGTGCCGTCGTTCGAGGCGCTGAATCCGTACGCGGCAGTTGGACGCAGTATGACGGGCGACGACAAGCGCTGGCAGCCCGTGCCGGACTTGTTCCACTCGAAAGAGTCGCTGTACTTTCGCTCGGCAGTGGGCAAAGTGCTCAAAATCGCGCACGAAGACATTTCTCCAGCCGAGTTGGAAGTGCGTGCGAATACGCCTGAGTTTAAAGTGGAAGAAGGCGACTGGATTGCCCACGATTCGAATCAGAAGAACCAGTTTGCATTGATTACGCCGTTGAAGACCGTGGCTCGAATCCCTGCGAACCTGGTGATTTCGGATAAACCCGTTTCGTTAACACAGCCAATTAGCAACCATATGGGTGGTTACTTGCGCAAGAAAGGAGAGAAAAACAAGGCGTTTAAAAAGCGGTACATGGCGTTGAATGGCAGTGTGCTGGCTTATTACAAGAAGAAGCCCGAGAAGAATGGTATTCCACTGAGTCGCGATGAGAAAAAGACATTGGAGAGAGGACGGATTGACTTGGACCGAGTGTCGTCGTTGCAACCCATGGATTCCAAGACAGAACCGTACGGCATTCTTTTGGTCACGACGGCGCGTACATGGGCGATTTGCGCGGATTCAGAACCCGAGTACCAGCGATGGTTGAAAGGACTTTGTGACGTCGTGAAGTTCAGTGCAGTTCACGTCACGTACAAGCGCATGTTTCAATTGCAGGAAGTGAGCGCGAAAGCCATCACTGATGTCCGGATGGTTGTTACGACAGGGGATACAGTAGGACAGATTGTGGAGCACATTTTCAATTGTTACGAGCAGGCCTTGGATGCCGCACCATTGAGACCGTACAATCCAGCAGAGTACCGACTGAAGATCACTGGATACCGTGACTATATGATCGACAGGTTCCGCGTGCTGAACGAATACGTGCACGTTCGTGAGTGTCTATTGACGAAGAAAACTATCCGATTGACTGTGATTCACGAGTCGGTTATCCAAGAGACTGCTATGATGAACTTGAGTATTGGCAGAGATTTCGCGAGTAGCACTGGGCTCATGGACAACATTGTGAGCCAATTTTCGGATATGTTTGATGGTGAGCGGGCAACATCGTTGCAGATGACAACTCTTGGTGATGAATGGGAACGTCCTTCAATCGACCGTAATCCGTCGCTACCTAGTGGTATCATCCAACAACCGTTTGCTGTTCGTATTCGCCGGGTACTGAACATTCCTCGCACAACATGCGTGAGAAAGCGGTCAAGTGAAGAAGCTATTGTGACTAAAGTCCCTTTGATGAGCTCGGGTGTGATTGTTCGCATTGAGCTGTACGATGGTGGTCAACTGCTGGATAATGCTGTAATCGATACGACTGATGTGCGATTGAAAGCCCAGCGCAACAATCTGTTGTATGCCGAGTGGGAAGATGCCGTGTGGCACAAGTTCAACATTGATATCTGCAACATCACGCGCACGACCCGAGTTCAGCTTACCGTTTCGGGTGTGAAAAAAGTGGTTGGGAGCTCAACATCCAGCATAGATGTCATCGAAGAAAGGATGCTCGTGACCGGCGTGAACGTGTTCGAAGTGGATGATACACTTACGCAGGGGCAACAGTATGTGCACATGTACAACAACCTGCATTCTTGCGTTCAGGGCCCGGTGCCTCACGTTGCACTGCCAAACGAGCCCCTGATCCAGATTGAGTTTTCCAAGTTTGATGCACCGATCAAATTCAATTGGAACGACGATGAGAGATCATCACTGAATGACCGTTCTCAGCGCCGCAGTTTCGTTGCGAGCAGTCGGTCTGTGATGCTGCGGAAAGAAGGGTGGCTCCAGAAAGTGGGCAATTTCTCGTCTTTGACTCGATGGCGTCGTCGTTGGTTTGTCGTGGATCAAAGCACTTGTACGCTTAGTTACGCCGATGACGAGACCGCTCCTCGTAAATTGATCACGCTGCGCAATTGCTCAGTGATGACCGCAGATGACATGAATCAAAAGTTTACGACAGCGCCTGTCAACAAAGGGACCCGAAAAATTCGCCAGACGTGGTGCTTTAAGGTGCGACCCATGGGCTCGTCTCGTGACTACATCATTTCTGCTGAAACGAAACAAGATCGGGAGGAATGGATGCTTGCGATCTTGACCGTTTCCAAGAATGACTCAAGCATCAGTGACCTTCCAGGTGGCCATGGGGGCTTGGAGGATTCGGGTGTGCCAGATCCTGTCACGGAGAGCCCCCGCGCGGAAGAAAATAGTGATCTCCTCGACGGCAAGTATATTCTAGAGAGTATCGCTCAAGACCGGCGCGATTCGACCTCTCGCTGTAGTGGTCACAGCGCGTCTCAGCATGAGTCTGCCCAGCTAAACGAACTACGCAAGCTCATTTTGCTAGATCCACTGTACCGGTTCAGTCCGTACCAAAAGGAGCAGCTGTGGATGCACCGCGAAGAATTTATTGACATACCAGCTGCTCTCCCACGCATCCTTTCATGTGTCCATTGGGATGATCGCGATGAGTGTGACGAGGCACTGACATTGCTTCCACGCTGGTCCGTTCCTGACCACCAAGCCGCTTACATTGAGCTCTTGAATGGTGAGTTCGCGAATGAAGGTGTTCGCTCGTTCGCTGTAATGAAGCTTGGCCAAATGGCTGATACGACATTCAGCTACTTCTTGCCTCAGCTTGTGCAGGCAATTAAGTTTGAGAACCACCACGTTTCTCCCCTATCGATGCTGCTTATAGAACGGGCCATTAAGAATCCGAACCAGATCGGGTTCGATCTCTTCTGGAGTATGAAGGTGGAGGCGCACAACGACCAGTACCGTGAACGATACGGTACAATTCTGAACGCATACTTGGACGTCTGCAGCTCAAAGATGCGTGCTATCCTGAAACTGCAGGACAAGCTTTTCGCGGAGGGTGGAATGCTCGAGCGCATATGCCAGAGCGTGAAGGCAAAAAGGAAGGACGGCGCAGCTGAAATGAAACGCGCGATGCAGCAGGGTCTGGATGCGCTGAATGAGCTTCTGCCAGGTTCATTTCAGCTGCCGCTTGATCCTCGTATTGAAGTGGGCAAGATCATTGTTAGCAAGTGCCGTGTCATGGATTCTGCGAAGAAGCCGTTGTGGTTGGTATTTGAGAATGCAGAGGAGGGAGGCGACCCTGTCGCAGTAATGTTCAAGGCAGGGGACGATGTCCGTCAAGATTGCTTGACGCTACAATTGATTCGTTTGATGGACGAGATGTGGCGAGACGAGGGCCTTGATTTGGCGATGGAGCCGTATCGATGCGTTGCGACATCGCCAATGACTGGCATTCTTCAGATGGTGCCGAACTCGGTTACGACAGCTGAGGTGCACCGGCGTGACGGTATGATGGGAACGTTTAAGGATCCCAGTTTCTCTGACTGGATTCGCGCAAACAATCCTGATCCAAGGAGTCGCAAGGCTGCTGTTGACCTTTTCGGCCGCTCTTGCGCTGGTTACTGTGTAGCAACTTGTGTCCTTGGCATCGGTGATCGGCATAACGACAATATTATGGTTCGTGGAGCGACTGGTTGCAATGCGTGGCTACAACACTTCCTGACACGCGTTCTGATTTTTCAATGTTCAGATTTCGTCATCGGGCCGGTACTTCCACATCGACTTTGGCCACTTTCTCGGCCACCTCAAGTACTACAAGGTAAGCAAGGAGCTTGATTATTGTGGTCTGCTGTTGTGTGTGTGTTTCGCTCACTGACTTCTGTGCGTGTGCTCTATTTAGCTGGGAATTCGTCGCGAGCGAACCCCTTTCGTGTTTACAAACGAAATGGCGTACGTGCTAGGTGGTGTGGAAGGAAAGGACTTTGCAAAGTTTGTTGATACAGCGTGCACGGCGTACTGCGTGCTACGGAAACAAATGCACCTTCTGGTGTCGCTGTTGCTGCTGATGGTTCCGGCGGACATGCCCGAGTTGACAGGTCGGGATGACATTAATCACATTGTGACGACGCTGGCGCCCGAAGTATCGGACGATCGCGCTCGTGAGTCGTTTGAGCAAACGATTCATTTCTGTCTCGACAGCCGGTTCAAGCGCTTTGACAACTACTTGCACAACATTGCCCACGCCTTTGGATAGGGTCATACCTCTGACCTGGAACTGGCACGTGAGTGCACTAAGTAATCATTGCCGTGAGTGCGTTTGTGCTCGATTTGCAGTCTGCTGAGATTTTCTGGCCTGCACACTCGCGCTGCGGTGAAGAATAAGAGAGCAACAGTACTCTTCATCGGAGGGGTTCGAACTCGCTGCGGAAAGTGTGTGGTCGTTGCTACCATACGTTCGTGTCTGGGTTTGCAAGCATTGTAAATAGTCAAGGTCTACTTGTGGCAACCGAGTCAGCGTTTGCGATTGTACTCAGCATCGATTCAGCTCTATGGCCTACATTGGTTGTTCTGCATGTGTGCACATATTGTGGCCTTAAGCGACTCGAAAAAATAAATGAAAGCCAAGGAACTGAAAATGTGCCGCTATGATGTGCTGTGCTGGGCAAATGTTACAGTGTGCGGATGAACGCAGTAAGCATCATCGTCAGGCACATCCGACAATGGGACTCCTGTTTTTGCCACTCATCCATTTCAGTGCCGTGACCTCTGCGGTATAATGCATGGTGCGCTTCTTCCAGCTCAGTCAAATGATTGTCTTACCACTACCGCCTGCCTGTACCAGCACGATACTTTCATCTAGCTTTTCCCTTCTTTTTCCCGATATTTTGGCTTTTTGGCTTTCCGGGTTCCTTGTTTCGCTTAGGCTTAAGTGTCCCAAGTGTGCGAAATGGCAATGCATTCTTAATGTCCGTATCCCTGCACACTTTTGCAAACAAGTACTACCAGATAGCGTGCGTTAAGGGACATCTCACTGAGGCATAAAAAGCCTTGTGGGTGCATAAAAGCCTTGTGGGTGCATACAAAGTTATGGTGATGCCATCAGGCACCTTAACCAAAGCGAATTACACCTTTTAAGACTCGTGCGATTGTCATTTCTCTTGACAATGTCCATTGCTGGACAAGAGCAAAAGTTACGCGTACAGATATGTACACGCTGATGTAATTGTACCAACTTTAATCGGGTCTTCCAGCATCATATTCAGGCACGCTTCGATCAGGCCGCGACATCCTATCCTTCCTTGCACTCACACTTCGTCATAATTAGTATAAAATAATTTAGAAACATTAAAAATATTTTATTTAATAATCCAAATTTATCGCATGTTGCTGTTACTTCGACGTAGTAGATAGCACTGTTACGACATTTGACATCTGCCAACTGTGTAGCGCAAAAGGGTCGGTAGAAATGTCGACCCGCATCTCTTCTGGCCGGCAGTAAATCAAACCAAGATCTTCCTACTCCACAAAACCTCGTAACTTCCTAGTCGGGGTTTACACTCTTCAATTTTGCAGTCTCAACGCTTGCTACAGGACGGCATTGCATGTCGGTAATAGTCATCCGCTCTTTAAACAAGCATGTGGTTCGTCGGATCTAAACTTCTAGCTTTGGTGCTACGGTAGCTTGATTACTGGTGCTTGAATGTCCATGGTAACTTCCGCTTCGTGACAGGACATGAACGCTGACACTTTGCTCGAATGCAAGTGTGCATCGACACCGTCACGGCACATGAAAGAGTACTGATCACGCGAGACAACGATGTGCTTGCCGTGCATCGTCGCGATTCATTATCATGGATCTGTCATTGCTGCTGTCTCAGACTATAAGTCCTGACTTCCCATAAGGAACACCACACCGCGTCGAAAAACTAGATGTGATAGCAATCAAGCGGCTTCCAGTCAAGGTGTTAGCGACACGTGCGAGTCTCTACTTCAATGCGAAGATTAGCGCAAGACTAGTTATCGCTTACGTATTGTAGAGCAAGTTCAAATGCCACATCGTTACCGCACTCGGGATTTCATAAGGCGGTTGTCACCGCATGGGTATGGAACGTAATGCCGGTTGTGTGTTACCACATTCAACGAAATGCCAAACTGCTCCATGCAGGAATTATCTTGTATGGAAAGCTAAATTACGTTGATAGAGCGGTGTCAATGCAGGCGTGTGAAACAGTAGATAGGTTCCTACATCTGACGGAAGAGGTTGGAAATCGTGTTGAGGGAACACCTGTTTACCAGATGAGCGCAGACTACAATGCTCAACGTGGCAACGGATGCTCAAGTCAGTGTGATTTCTTCGTTCAACCTCTTCCTTCTCACTCATCGGTACGAGTACCACATACGGCACAGCAATGGTTGCTAAGTAGTAGTATACTATTGACGAGCTGCTCATACTCGAAGCACGTGTTCGTTCATCCCTGACCCAATGGTCTGTTAATGATTCTTTTTGTCTTCACCGATCGATCACCTGAGGATATATGCGGATAGATTGAATCGGGCAGTCATGCTGAGCAGTAGATGCTGGTCGAGGTGAAGCGAGTGCACATGTTTGTGGTGCAAGTGAGACATTAGCTTGCAAACTGCTGTTCCTACTATGCCTACCTGGACAAGACAGTTGCGGTAAACGCGCTTTACATGCTCTTTTGAGCCTGTTGTGCGCGGTTGGAAGCCGCGAATATCAACGCGAGGCACGCTTGCGACACGGTCGTAGATCATTCGACTTAACAGCCATCGAAGAGCTTCGAGCTGCAAACCTGACTACGGAACGAGTGCTCGGTAGGGCGAATTATAGTGACGCCTACAATGCGAGGATGAGGACAAGTTAGTGCTGCCTTTGCAGAATGAAAGCCAATCCTTACTTTTCTGTTCGCATTCTCAAAGGAGCCTGAGCCCGAGCATGTTCAAGAGTCGGGCTGTTGGTGCAGCACGTCGATGTATCAGTCTGTAACTACGTCCACCAAACTTACACAGGTTGTTGTGCGCCTTTTGCCTGTAGTAGATAAACGGACACGAGACGACAAAGGATGTTGCTAACGGCAGCTCCAATATGGTCATCGCTCTGATGCATTTCATAAAGTCCTCCCGTCGTGTCTTGTTGTGGAGAGATACATGTGCCGCGGTTTAGACCTCCACAAGCGAAAGTATAACAAGCGATATGTTGCGCTTCTACATAATAGGTAGGAATCAACTCTAGGTCCTAATACAGTCGTAGAACCGTGGGTAATGAAGCGTTTGTTGGATATTAGGACGTGTAACTTGCGCTTGGTATTCCGCTACGAGATGGCGACCCGCTACAACCACAGCGGCACTACGGCGGCGCAGCAGGTACCGCAAACTAGAATATAAGCGCAGTTTACGCGACGACAGAACTGTTGCCTTTGTTTGGTGCCTTGATACCGAGCCAATTTGTCACTGCCCTATCCACCTCCGACGAACCCATCAAATCCTGACGAACACTCATCCAAAACCGTCAATTGCCAACGACGAACATGCTGCAGAATATCGTTTTTATCGTAAACAACCAGGTGTCTGCGCTTTCTAGGTCCTTTTCATCGAATCAAGCAGCAAAGCTCATCAACGAGCAGACGTCGTCCACCACGTACCCACCCACTCTCTGCACTACAGCACAATTTCATGCTCCATCATCTCTCTCTACATCGAAACAGACAACGTCTTCCATCCGGCGCCTACATCTCCTCCATCAGAGCGTTCACCACCACCAGCACGTTGCCGTTGCACTGTTCCAGACGGTCCACGACCACGCTCGTTTCCACACCCGGAAAGATGTTGCGCACCATATACAGCTCCTCCGACCACTTGATTTCGTCCTGCGACGGCGCGGCAACCACCGGCGCCACAACAACCGGAGCTGCAACCACAACCGGTTCAGCCACCACGGGCTCGACAACCACGGGCGCCTCCTCCACCGGAACCGACGTCTGCTCCGTCACTTGTTCCCACTCGCTGTCGCTGGCAGCCGCCACCGGCGCTTCAGTCGCTTCCTCCACAACCACAGCGGCCGTCGACTGCCGTGGCGTCTCTGGAATAGGCGCCACTTCCGCCTGGACCGGCGCCATGTTCTTAATCTCGACCACCACCTCCTTGGCAAACTCACCAATGCCCTCGGCCGCACACTTGAGACCTTCCGTCGTCTCCTTCATGAGCTGGTCAAACGGCAGCTCCTGAATGCTCACGCGCGCCGCCTGCACCGCCTCGCGCGCGTCCTGGACCACCGTCTTGAGCGCCTCGTTCGTCTGGTCGAACCCCGTCTGCGCCGTCTGCTGCGCCTTGTCGGCCCACTCCTCGTGCTTCACCTTGCTCATGGCTACAGTCAGCGTCTCCACGAGCTTCTCAATGGCCATGAGGATCGGCGCCGCCACATTCTCTTGGAACGCGACCGTCGAGCGGCTCACAGCTTCAAAGCGCACCGACGTGGCGCTCGCTGCCGCCGGCGACAGTACGCGACATGCCTCCTCGTACTCGGCCTGCGACGTCACGTTCAAGCAGTCGCCTTCCACGTCCGTGTACTGCACCACAAAGCTGCCCGGCGCCAGGTTAAACGTCTCGGCAAAGAGCGCCGTCAAAGCCTCGAGCGAGAACGACGTGAGGTCCACGCGCAGACGGTGCAGCTCGCCCTTGTACTTGATCTTGAGCACCGTTTGCTTGGCGTCCATCCTGAGTGCGGGTGCGTCTTTAAGTGAAGTGAAACGACGTGAAGTGAAGGGAAGTGAAGCAAATTCTCTTGCGTCTGACGCTGCGAATTCGGAAATGAGCACGAGAAAGGAGGGGGAGGTCGTCAACCCTCTCGAATCCGATATTCCTTCTTCCACGTCTGGTTGCGGCTACAAACTGGCCAATGAACGACTGCCGTTGGGAAAGGCTTTGCCATCCTTCGAGTGGCCCTTGATTTCCTTGCCGTTTCAGATAAGTAACCACAGCTCGATCGCGTGGATAAACGGTAAAAGTCGCTGCACTATCGACTGACGAGCTTCGAAGATAACGTGCGCTAATGCATAAACTGTACAACGTCGGGTGGGCCGCACTTTTCCTCGATAGGCGCCCACCAGCTGTCGCACGATGGTGTACCGGTCGAACCTAACCGAAACGGTACACCCTCTCTCGCGTCCATGACAAGGTACCGGTATTCACCGATCGATACCTGCTCGTCTCAAGTCGCTTTTTGTACGACCGACCACTTCCGACCTGCTCCTTGGGACTGTCGTCGTGGCGCTGGTCGTGGTTGTCGTGCACTTGCAGCGCCTTCCAGACGCCCAAAACGCAGCCGGCAACTCGAGGATCTCTGTGACGTCCCCCCTCCTCGATATGCCGTCGGCGCCGGCGTCCACCACGTCCTCGGACGCCAGTATCTCGCCCCGCCCGAGCCACCCAAGCTCCATATCCAGTGCCTTGTCTACGCCAGTGTCTTTGTCGCTGCCAGGCCTGCTCCCTGGCACGCATCTGGGTATTCTGGCCTCCGGACCTCTGGACAAGCGACGGGACGGTGCTGTACGTGGTGGCTGGGCCAAGCGCCTCTTCCTTTTGTCCACGCGCAGTCTGCACTATTACCGCAAGACGGAGGAGATGGAGCTCTTTGGCAAAGAGCGTGGCCACGTGCTGCTTTCGGACATTGCGTTCGCCAAGGTCGTGCTGCCTACTGACGCTCCTGCTGGTGCTGTCGAGCCTGGACGCGTGTCGTTTTACATTGCGGTTTTGTCGGTACGAGCTCTCTTGTGGACGTTGTTGCTGAGCGTGTTAGTGTAATGGAGCACCAATTGTGTGGTGTTGGTTTTGTTGTTGTTGTTGTTGTTGTCATTGCTGCAGAAACGGAAGACGCTGTTGCTGTTCCTGCGTGCTGACACGCTCGACTATGCTAGTAGCTGGGTCAGCCTTATTAATATTGCCGTGCAGACTGCAAAAAGCGTTGGCTTTGCGCCACGATGGACAGTGGAGACTATGCAGACGTTTCTTTCAGCGACTTCCGGGTATGTGGTTGGAGCGGTAGAATTGAGGTAGGAAGGTGGCTGGACGGGTTTCTGACGGTTACGATGATGCTGTGGCTGCAGTAACGATGAAGAGCTTGAAGAAGTAGTGACGGAATCACCTACGAAGGTCGTAATGACGACGACGCCTGTTACGGTAAGCTTCTGTAAATGATTTGTGCCATGAAGGGACAATCCAGTTGCTTACGTGTCCATCGTTAGCGTCCGGTACCTTCAGTGCTTGTTGTTAGTATGATATCTGGACAGTCGAGCGTGTCGGACTCAATGGAACGGTTAGTTAAGCGAAATATTGAGCTTCATACGGAACTGCAGCTGGGTGTATTCGAGCAAAAGGACACGTGTGTTATCGTGCTAAGTGACGGTGAAGAGATCCGCATTTCTCGGCAAATGCTGGGAAACGATACCGAAAGTCTACTTACAAGTACCAAGCCGCTCGATCTGACGACCCCAGCACGCAGTCAACCAATGCGACCTCATGTCATGTCGATGTCCCGAGTATCGGGTGTGTGTTGTATCGTTCCACATTGTACTGCAAGCACAGATACCGTTTAACCTATTGTGCTGTACGCAGTTTCTTTCCGATGCGTACCGGCTCCTCCGGCACCAATCACACGACGGGACTCAGGCATTCAGCCAGTGACGTCGTCGTTGCCTTCAACGTTCACTATTGCTTTTCCAGGCACATTGGGTGGGCTTTTCCTGATAAGCTGTCTGGTGTCTTCTTACTGCGCGGCACCTTTTGTTGGGTTGATGAAGATAACTATCGTGCTCGGCTTTATCCTCTCAATCTCCCAAATCGCGCAGTTCGTTATCTGGTAAGTTCGTGATTGTGTTTGGTTGCTGCTGCACATGCTCCCGACTGACATGTTCTACTTGACTTCTAGCTTATCAGATACCAAAAGTCACAAGCGCTTGAGCTCCGTCTTGCTGCCAATTTGCGGGTCAAGAAAAGCTGCAGCTACAGTGGAAAACGAACTCATATACCATATAACGATCAGCAAAATCGAAGTGGTCGAAGTAGATCGATTCGCAGAACTCGCACTGCCCGACGCAGTGCTACCTGCAGCGAATGCGAGCGACTCCTCGGAGACTGCAGTGACATCAATCAGTGGCGGACCGATCGCGTTCTCACCTCGATTTATCGCAGGTGAAAAGGGCGATGTCGCAAAGGGTCGAGCGAGGTATCTGGCTACACTGGAGTGGCGCGAAAACAACGGCATCGACGATATCTTGGTGACACCGCATCCGAACTTCGAAATCATCAAAAAGTACTACCCTCAGTATTTCCACGGCAGAAGTCGTGAGGGTCTACCCGTATACTATGAACGGCCAGGCAAAATTGATCTTGCAGCACTGAAACGCGAAGGGCTCTCTATGGATGACCTGCTGCGTCATTATACGTACATGACGGAGTACCTCTGGCGAGTACTGGAGCCAGACGACGCCGCTCGCTCAATCACGGTGCTCGATGTGACGGGTATCGGCATGTACGACCTCGGTGGAGAGGTCCTGGACTTTATCAAGCGCGCGTCTGCATTCACCGGCGCTCATTATCCCGAGCGCAGTGCCCACATTCTAATCATCAACATCCCCGGCTGGTTCAACATGGTTTGGCGCATGGTCAAGCCGCTGATTGACCCTGTAACTCGCGAGAAGGTACGTAGCAAGATGGTGTTGTTTGCAACTGAAGACCACGCACTGATGATGCATCGTGTGTTTTGCAACTGCCTGTAGGTCCACATGCTGAAGGGAGGTTGTGCCATTCGACGCGAGCTGGAGAAGTTGATTGACGTCACGAACATCCCGTCCGACTTTGGAGGGGAAGGTGCGGCGCTAGGTGACTCGAAAGAAGAGCATGCTTTAGCAGCACACGTCAAGGAGTATCTGTGAGCAGGCTTCACTAAACTATGCGGATCCTCGGCTGTAGCCTGCATCCATCCGAAAAAGCCAGCGTGCCTCTCTGTTCCTGCCTGCCTCATCCATGCCACTCATTCTGATGGCTACATTCAACCTGATAATTCTCCTCCGGCTCTCCGCGAGCTCAACGATGGGCTGCACCCACAACTTTTCGTATAGGATGCCTCTCCCAATCCGGTGATTAGACCCCACTCGCCCCTCCCCCCCAGCCTCGAACGAAACACCGTTTCATTCTTGATTTTGCCATGTCGCGAACAAAGGCCCTTGTCCGCCGCGCTGTCATCGGCACTCGTGCTCGCCCCTCATTGGCCTTCGCCACCCGCGCTTTTTCAGCTGAAGTCGATGGTTCGTGCCTATCCCATTTGACTACCACCTTCTAGCTAGCTAGCTGCACACGCACCTCCCCCTCCTCCTCAATTGTCTATGGTTCCTAACTAACGAACGAACTCCATTGTTCCAGTCGAGCCTGAGTCGGTATCGTTCGAAGACATTAGCACGGCGTCCTTTCGCATCCGTGATGGGATCCAGCAGACGCACTGTGAGTACACGCCGTTGCTGTCGCAGCGCATGGGAGTGGAGCTCTACCTCAAGAAGGACCATCGGCAAATGACTGGCAGCTTCAAAGAACGGGGCGCTCGGAACGCTTTGTTGCAGCTGACCGACCAGGAGAAGCAGCACGGCGTCGTGGCTGCTTCGGCTGGTAATCACGCTCAAGCGTTGGCCTATCACGGCCGACTGTTGGGGATCCCTGTGACGTGTGTGATGCCCAAAGTCGCGCCGTTGACCAAGATCATGCGCTGCCGGGAACTCGGGGCGCGGGTTGTGCTGCATGGGGAGCACATCCTGGAAGCTCGTGAAAAGGCTGAAGACTTTGTGCGGGACGAGGTACGACGGGAGACGATGCAGTGGCATTCTTGTCGGGCTTGAAGACTGATGCTGATGGTTTCTGCTTGTGGCTGTGGTGCGCAGAACTTGATGTACATCAACGGATTCGATCGTCCGGAGATTATTGCGGGGGCTGGTACCATGGGCATCGAGATCTTGCACCAGGTACCCGACGTCGATGCGATCATTGTACCGATCGGAGGTGGTGGCTTGATTGCTGGTATTTCGCTCGCTGTCAAGACCCTGTCTCCAAACGTTCAAGTGATTGTAAGTACTGCGTGCATTATGGCCATGATCATCTGGTTGTGGTCGTGTGAAGTTCTTACCGGATGTTCTGGATGATTTTTGCGTTGCAGGGAGTCGAGCCGGAGTACTGTGCGAGTTTCTCGGAAGCTCTGAAGGCTGGTAAGCCCGTGCACATGCCGTCAAAGCCGACGCTTGCAGACGGCCTAGCGGTTCCTTGTGTTGGTGCTAACGCCTTCGAGATCGCTCGCACGTACGTTGACAAGGTCGTGACTGTCTCGGAGCGCTCGATCGCACTGAGCGTGCTGCGTCTCGTCGAATTGGAAAAGGTTGTCGTGGAAGGTGGAGGGGCATCCTCACTAGCTGCCCTGATCGACGGCAAACTGCCCGAGCTGCAGGGGAAGCGCGTTGTACTGCCTCTCACAGGTGGCAACATTGACACACCCGTCCTCGGTCGCGTTATTGACCGCGGTCTGGCTGCAGACGGTCGTCTCGTGCGCTTCGTGGCTACTGTGAGTGACCGTCCTGGCGGTATTGCTCAGCTGACGTGCTTTCTGCGTGACTTCGGTGTGAGCGTCAAGGATATCTATCACGAGCGTGCTTGGGTGCATGCCAGCATCTCCCACGTTGCAGTCAAGTGCGTTGTCGAGACACAATCGAGCGAGCACGCACTTGAGCTGAAGCAGCACCTCGAAGACGAAGGCTACCCACTTATCTGGGAGAGCTTCGCTGGACTCCAGTCTCCAACTGTTGAGTTCTGAGTAGACAAATGATAAACTTTAAGTGTCGGTGTGCCATTAAGTAGATGATAATTTTGTCCTACCGTTTGCCGTCCCCACACTCGCATTTTCCGCTCGGTCGTCTCCATCTATACCTCCGCTAGCTCTCCGAGATAAATGTTCTTGTCGCTGCTGCAAGAGCCCACGATAGGTTCAATGGGATGGAATGTAGCCTCATTCACGCTGCCCGCATGTCCTGGCAGAAGGTAGCGCAGATTGCCCGTCTCAGCATCCCAAATGTACACATAGCGATCCGCGGACCCGCTCGCTACAAAGCGCATATCAGCCGACCAGCCACAGCGAATGAGTGTCCGGTCAAAGCTGTGCTTGGCGCCCATGAACGTCGTCTTGAGCCGTTCGCCGTCGACAAAAGGCCGGACGTCCCACTTCCTCACGGTCGAATCCATGGCATTCGACAGCAAGAAGGCGCCATTTGGACTGAGACTCACGCCCGTCACAATGTCCGCATGGCCCTGAAGCACCGTAGCCACTTTGTCGTTGCGTAGATCCCACAAGTTGATCGCCCCGTCCAGTCCACCTGCAACAACCCGCGAAGTGTCAGCCAGGAAACACACAGCTGTGACCTGGTACTCGGTCTCCAAAGACTTGACCGCCCGCTTCGAACGGACGTCCCAGAGCTTGAGCGTGCGGTCGTCACTGCCGCTCACAATGAGCGTCGGGCCACTGCTCACGGGACAGCAGCTGTTGATTACTGACGTGTGCCCCGTGAACTTCTTGACGCGACGTCCGCTCTCGGCGTCCCAGAGCCCGAGGGTCTTGTCAGCCGAAGCAGACACGAGCTGGGCGCTGTCATACGTCCACTGGACCTCGAGTACCGCGTTTTTGTGACCACTAAGTACGTGGTAATTGCGGCAGTCCCCGTACACGTTCCAAAGCAGTATACAACGATCAAATGAACTCGACGCCAAGTGCTGCCCCGACGGACTGAACTTTAACGAATACACAGCCGCACTGTGACCCGAGAGGAGCATCGTAGGCGCCAAGAGCTTCGACGTCCGGTCGCCCACGCGCTTGCACGCGACGACGGTCGAGTCGGCAGCGACGATCTCCGTCAGTCGCGAGCGCTTGGCCACTTGCGTCGATGATGCAGACGTGAGTAAAGTCGACGCGTCGGTCTCATCGTCGCTGCTTGGAGGTCGCTTGCTACTACCTCCCATGCCGATGGTGGGTGGGTGGGTGTCAACTGCGAACTTAAGACGTACTTGGCAAGGAGGCTCTGTGGCTGGCTTGGCTGTGCGGCGGGACGTCAATTAGAAATGAAAATGTAGAAACGATGAGCTTGAAAGAGTGAGTCCGAAAGACTTCATTTAAGATGCAAATCGGTTTGATCGCTGAATGAGGGGAAACTTTAAATAAAACGCCACTTTTTGCCTAGAAAAACGCCACTTTTTGCCTTAAAACACACCACTTTCGCCTATACATGCACGATTAGTGACGGCTATCAATTCATCTTAATCGTTCTATGCCAGCGGTCACTGAGCAAAAGACCATGCGACCAATCCTTGAAGATCGCTGACATGCATCACTACATCAATATGGTAAGCCCGTTTCTCTCTCTTGTAATATTGCAGCGACTGCTATTGCAGACGGTGCTACTGCTGCGACCTCTACTCCATAGCGGAGTTAATAAGTTCCTTCCGGCCGGTTCATCCAGCAGTCAGGAGAAAGTTGTAGCGACTGTCAAACATCACGCCGTCCACCAAGACTTCGCCGTAAGGATCTACCGTAGCAATCGAATCGGGATCAAATGCGTATTACTCACTGTGTGTAGTGAAAGCGACATAGAAAATTTCGCGGCTGGCGCACGGCAAAGAAGACTGCAGAAGTACCAAAGTCGGCCGACCGTACGAGCTTGCGATAGTCTACAACATGCACGCGCCAGAAGGGAGCGCCTGTGCCAAGATCTGTTTGCATGACTGCCATGGAGGCTGCCCCGATGCATAATGAAAGCTTGATTGACACTGTAAAGGTGGCACGCGGCATCCACAAGGAGTGGAAGGCATCAATGCCAAGGCCGACTAAGATTTATATGCTATCGCTGCTTTACGTTTTTCGTAAGGGTACGCAACATATTAGCTTTGGAGATTTACTAAAGTGAGATGGGAAGTGGTTTGTTGGCATGACTGCTTATCATGAGTGTACTCAGCTGAACGAACGGAATACATAGCCTTGAATCTAGGGGCAGGTTGATAAATTTCTCATGTGCTTGTACCTCATTCGATATATTGAGGTCGTCGATCTACACCGTGGTTACTATATCAGTCACGACAAGGCAATATTTTAGTACTGCATCTTCTGTGGACATTTACCCTGGTGCGCGATGTCCGTATTGACAAATCGAATGATTGACGCGCGGGCGAGCGTGTCTATTACGGCGGACGGCGCTGGGGCTTGAAATAAGTGGCCTTTCGCTTAACGATCACTGACATAGAATAATCAAGATAAACATCGAGCCGGTAGGGATCGTGAATGGATAGGCAAAAGTGACGTTGTTTTAGGCAGAAAGTGGTGGTGTTTTAGGCAGAAAGTGTTGTTTTGTCTTAAAGTCTCCCGTTAATTTGCGTTCACGTGACACAAAACGCGCCGCTTTGTTGGACAAAGTGGCACTTTTTGTGTGCTTCTTTCACAAGTTTACGCTGCACAAAAACTTGCTTGGATTACTGCTCCCTGTGCTTTTTGTCCTACTCTGCAGCGTACGTCAATTTCTGCCAATCAGATCGTCGATAAATCTCACGCCAGTGATCGATCGCACTTGGCGATGGGAGCACGTGAGGAAGTGGTGATCGATGGCGACTCGACGGAAGACGAGGACGAAGAGGTACGTATCATCACGCCCGAGTCGCGCAAACGCCGTCGCCGCTCGAACGTTCTGATGGACCAGGAGGAAGACGGAGACGGAGCTGAGGACGACAACGGAGAAGCGAGTGGACAGCGCGTTCAAGAGCGAAAAGAAGCGGCCAATGGGGTGTCGGTCGCCCTACGACGTCAGCAGCAGCTGTTGCTGGGCAGAGAAGGGGTCATGTCTCAGCCCATGACGCTGCGTACACCGACGCCGACGCGTCGTTCACGTCGGAACCTGCAGCAGCTCTCGATATCGACGGCTGTGGCTCGTGGGGATCGTGATCGACGTCAGCGACAAGAAGAAGGCAAGCACGATGATGACAAGGGAAGTTTTTGCATTGTGTCGCCGCCGTCTACTCGCTTCGTGACGAATAGGGACAGCAGTACGTGTGAAGATGAACGTGTTGTGATCGAGGACAATGACGAGACATTTGAGCGGGCTCGGACACAGCAGGATAAGCAGCAAGATGTAGAGACCAACCGGTTGGTGGACGCTGACGGGTCATCGTCCGCATCGAGACGTAGCTCGAGAATCCAACACAAGCGCCCGGTGAAGGAGGTGAAGCTAGGCAGCACGAGGAAACTGGATTATCCGGTGCTGGACAATTGTCTGGACGAGCTACAATGTTCAGGATCGCACTGTAGAAGTGGAGACGATGATGTTGTTGTTGACGATGATGACGATAGTGATGGCTGTGAGGGGTCTGAACACGGGGATACGGTAGAACCGTCAGTTCAGAGAAGACGGCTGTCTCTGCTACGTGAGGGAGAGCGGGATCTCTGCGAAAAGGTGTACGCGGATGGAGGAGAGGATGTGGATGATTTCATTTGTAACGACGACGAGATTGAGTACATGGACGACGATGAGGAAGGTGTGATTAGTGTGGAGACGTCGGATGACGAGGTAGAAGATGAAACGGAGGGGCTGGCAGCCATGCTGGCGGTGGGACGCTCCCGCGAGATAAGCGAATGGTTCACTATCTACCTGGAGTATCTGGAGGAGTGCGTTATCGATCCAGACTTCGAAGCTAAAATGCATCACAAACGGTCCAAGGCGAAGCACCAGCTATACGGCCAGGCTGTTGATCGTGTGAGTTTGCTTCTTTTGAGCTGCAAATTTGTCCGAGAGTATACTCATTTTGTGTCTTGCGCTTGTCTAATAGATTGAGCGTAAGCTATGCGCATGCCGAGACACCGTTCGATCAGGTGTGGCATGGCCTGAAACTATGGTAGATGCACTGAAGCATGCTTCGCAATTCCGTTCCAGTCGTGCATCTGCGGAACAGGACTGTGACGCCTGCAACCGTCGCCAGCATGTTGCTACCTGTCATGTAGAACTAGCCGGTGTGGCCTGTGATGCGACGAAGCTTTACGGACGTGATTGGATGCGTCAGTACGTTTTTGCTTACGCTGTTTTTCATGCCGTTTAAAGCATGACTGTCTAATGATGTAATTGTTGATGCCTAGTCTTATGAAATCAAAGCCGGACGCACCCTCTGTGTATGCAGCTTTCGAAATGGGTGGCGTGTGTCATGCAGTAAGATCTCTTGTTGGTATATTGATTCTTTGTGCGGTAAATAGCGGAAGCTAACATCTGCGTCATGGGTTGCTGTCGTAGCGCACTTTGGCGTATTGGCAATTACTGCATGCCAAGCAGTTTTGGTGTATCTTGGTCGACGCAAAGCTGCGTGAGTGTGCAGATAATACGGGACGGATCGCTGAGCAGTACCGCAACGACTTCTTTACGCGAGAGTTTGGTCGGTACAAGAAGTTGATGAGCGTTGTGGAAAAGTTTGCTGAAGACTCGAAACAAATTGGCGTTTCGATGACGAACGTATGGCAGAGGATTACCCCACGCAAGGTGACCAGTAAATTTCTTCCGATTTCGTCCAGAGTGTCATCACACCGAAAGCCAGAACCTCGTCGAGGTACGCTCGATGCATTTGTCGCCGATAGTGAAGAAGAGGACGTGGAAGATGAAGAGGCAGTAATGGACAAGCAGGAAGAGAGGAGACGTGCAGTTGCTGGCGGAAAGCATGATGTTGATCAGGCCACGGACGATGAGCAGAAGGAGGCAATTAAGAGCACGCCGCTTGGGATATCACACAAGGAAGGTAACAACGGGCAACAGCATCAGCTTTCGTCTATTGGACAAGTTAAAAATGAACACCTGGTCGAGAAGGACATCGACGATCTCATGTGCTTGGTGTGTGACGCAAGCCCACGCAACGCGGGGGTCGTGCACGGTCTATATCTTCATGTGTATTGTTGCTACGCCTGTGGGAAGCACCAATATCGTATGAAATCTGGCTGCATGGTTTGCGACCGACCCATCGACCGCGTACTTCGGCTGCTTCCGCTCACGTTGGACGCGCGAAACGCTATTCGGAATCAGAAGAAGTTGTCGAGCTAGATTGTGCAAGTGATCCAGCCGCAGATAGAGTGGATGATTACGGTGATGCCTTGAGTGTTTGAGTACCAACCTGGACTTTTGTGCTTGTTGACTCAAGGACGCCATCACCAGTGTGTCGCGCCTTGTCGTAGTCGAAAACGTAAAGCACTTGGTTGCGCCCGGCGAACGGCAGAAACGCACTTTGAACTGATGGGTGCTTCTCCAAAAGATACTTTACGAATGTCTCATACGTATCGACCGGTGTGCCATTAACGCATGTGCGATCCGGAAAGACTCGGCTCATCACGCAACAAGGCACAATGGCGAATGGCTTGTGCAGGGCCAGAGCAATGTCGACAATGGCTTCGGTGGCTTCATCTGGATGCATGCCAACAAGAAGGGAACAGTCAGTGAACAGCTCGATGTGCAGCCTTAGTGTTTCATCGTCCAGACGGCGCAGCAATTGGGGGCTCATTTTGCGACCTGTTGCGGCTTTGGCAACGAGTTTCCGATTGTGTTTGCCAAGCTTCATAGGTCTCTACAGCACGCGCACATCAATAGATCCAGAGTCAGCTGCGTGTACGACGCAATGAGCCACCATGGTGTTTTCCACCTTTTCAATGGGGCCATCGCTACGTACCGGGTCGATCAGCGTTGTCGGGATACCTCGTTGAATCCAAAGCTGGGTTGGGATATCGCCTTTACCGCCAGCAATATCAATGACACCCGTTCCGCCGGCAAGCTGCTCCTTGCCTACAGAGCTGACAAGCCAGTCACAGAAGATGCGGCTACGCTGGGCCTTATCGATCTTAGAGTGGGGATCGATAGTGTCACCGGCCAGGTGTGCAGCTTTTGCGCGCTGTTCGAGACGCTTTTTCATCCAGCGGCGTCGGTTTTCTGCGAAATGCTCCGGTTGTCCATGCCAGAAATGACATACCTCACCGCGCAGGCAGTTGACACCGCCAGACGAGGAGAAGTAGAATTTGCACGCATTGAAGCCGTCGATGACAACCATGTTGGTGTACTTGTTGACAGCCTCCGCCTTTGACGAAGGCGGCAGCGCCCACGATCCATTTACAGCAGCAGAATCCGGAGATGACACACCGCTCGAGTCCGTGTAGCTAAAAACAGTGTCCGCGTGTCGCAAACTCCAAAGTTCGTCCACTTGCATGGAATGCAATACGAGCATCCATCCATCAAGGTTCGCTAGCTTGTCAAATTTACGCTGCAACGTGCCGCAAGCCGTGATCAAGTCACCAAGATGCACGTCCCGGTTGATCTGGCGAACAGCTGCGAGGTCCAGTATACCTTTTTCCGCGCGTATCATGACCTCGAGAAGCTCTGCCAATCAGTACGCGACACCAAGAACCGAGTGAGGTATCAGCCATGGAGGTTCCATGATATCTCGTTGGGTTACAAAGCACTTGGCATACCTCCATCCTGCATCTGGATATCGCCAAACACGAGGCCTTTGCTGGAAAAAATGAGAGACGACAGACGACAACAAGGCGTTAGCAGATACACAAGAGGAACGTGGAATGGTGCATCTGCATGACGTACGACAAGTTGCGCTTGCGGACAAAGCGTCCCTGGACTGAGACGTTAAGCAGCAGGTCGTGCTTGCAATTGACTGGCGGGAGGTCGTTTCGAACCTCGATGACGCGCAGGGCAGCCATTGTCACAATTGTATCTAGCTTTTTGTCGTTTGGAGAAGAATAAAAGTTGGATATTATCCAACGTTTACAGCGGTACATGCAATTCATGTGTACCGCTGATGTAGACTCCGAATATTCCGGTCTAATTCCGTCCATCGAACTCCTATGAGGCAGCTACAGATCTCCCGGATGACACGACAATTGATTTCGCTCGGTGATCATCCGCTTACGTAATCGTCCAAAACTAAGTCGCCAGAAAGATTCGCTGTGTCAAGCAGCACGACCGTGTCCGACGAGCATCTAGCGTCTACCACTGAAAAGCAACCTCAACCCCTAATTAACACAGCATTAAAGTATGGCGGCTGCTTCATCTCGCGGCACAATCGATTCTCGGCCTTTTTCTCGCATCGATATCCGGTGCAGACGAAACGCCTGGCACCTGATCACGCACAAGCGTCAGGCCATTCGATCGCCACCGAACGTGATGCGAAAGACGATGCGACATGTCTAGGGACACAAACTGTACAAAGTCTGTCCCCAATCGCTCAATCTCCCAGAAGTTCAGCTTGACCGATCCCCTTGTTATTCCATGCCGACCAAGAGAACGCCCAGGAGCTTTTCGTGCCAATCAGTCAGTCACTCAGTCACTCGCTCACTTCCTCCGTCAGTCAGTTAACCAGTCGCTCTCTCACGACACGACACGACACGACAACTGACTAGAGAGCGCCGTCGTTCAATCGCTTCCAACGAGTCGGTCACTCGTCCCGTGTGACTGCAAAGCGTCCAATAGCCACTTGACATGGTGTTGACGCAGCCATTCTTGCCTACGTGTGAAGAGCTCGACCTCTTGGACGCGCATCTGCATGAGCTCGAGGAGCCCGGGACGACCTTCTTGCAAGGTTCGTGGTACCTTGTTGCACCTTTGTCTGTGGGTTTTGGTGTCTCATTCGTGCTTTCTATGTGGTGGTGCTTATGTCCTGCTCTTTTTTGTGATCTTTTGGTATTTATCTGTTGATTTTTGGACCGTGTAGATTTCATTGTGGCCCCTCCGCTGATGCCGAGTGACACGCCACTTAGTACTTCAAGTGGGTACACTTCCGAGGAATCGGACCACTCGATCATGACGGGGTCCGACGAGTTTCTTCAATGCCGTGGCATGTCGTTCTTACAGGCTGCAAAGACAAGTGAGCTGGTGGATGTTGTGGAGGATCTCTCTGCGCAAGATCTGATGGCTGTCTCACCGCGTAGCCAGCAGCATTACCAGCACTTTACAGGCATGGGCGTGAAGAGCAAGGTACGGACGCTATCGTCTTTTGGTTACTGGCTGTTTTTTTGTGCAGGTTCTGATGGCCGTTGGTTGCTGGTGTTCTGTATTTGGCGTGATGTACCTATTGTGCTACTTTTTCTAGACTTCCAAGTACCGTGGTGTGACGCAGACTAGCAAGACCTCGTGGGGTGCCAAGTACAGTGCCAAACGCATCACGAATACGTGCAAAACGCCGGAAGAAGCTGCTCGTGCGTACGACAAGTACCTCGAGACGAATTTTCCGCAGAAATTCGCCAAGTTTGCCAACTTTTGCCACAAGTGTGACAAGTTTGTAAATCCGCTTGGGCTCCCTCAGTACCAAAGCGAGTGCGTGTGCTCTTCGAGCTCACCAATTGGATCTCCCTTGTCGGAAGCAGCTTCCATGTCGCTCAAAAAAGAGATTGACACGGAACAGCAGGTTACGAGTCCTACAGCCACGCTGCCCTTGGTTCCACCGATGGCTCCTTCTCCAGCCGGCGTACCTTCAACATTGAACATGATGGACGTGTTGAATCATCGCTCGGACGTGGATCCTGCGAACGAGCAGAGCACGACGTTTGTTGGTCGGTGCTCAAACAATATGTCTGGCTCGCTCAAGTTCAGCTTTTCAGATGGCGCAGAACGGCCCTTTGCGCAGTCGTACGATAGCGGGACCAAAATACTGCAGAACCAGGATGGAGCAGCTTTGACTGAAGTGCAGCAGCAAGGGCAGGATAAGATGTACGACAGTTTACCCATGACGGCCATCAGTTCAGCCGTGGACTCCTTTACTCTGGGCGATAACTTGGACCAGATCATCAAGGATATCAACCACCCGCCTTCTTTCCAATCGTTGTTGAACCGAAGTGTGGCTGAGGAACGTGTCGCAAATGACAACGCCAGGATTTGCCCTACAGCTATCAGAAGCAGCAGCGGCATCGGAAAGATGAGCGAATCTGCCACCTATGACACGATTTTGGTAGAGCCAGCGACACCGAACTCCTTGGGCTTTGACGTCGATGAACTGGACGAGTTGACCAATTATTTCCTGTCCGAAAACGACGTGACGGTAGCTGTCCAACGAGAAATGCATGCAGATCCTATTTCGACCGAGCAGCATCCTGTTGTAAAGGAGGAAAGGAGTCGGCAGTTTAAGAAGATCCACAGTCTCGATTTTGATTGCGAAAACACAACAGATAGCGACGCTGCCATGAACGACGTGAAGCTCGAGGATGCAGGAGGCACTTTTCTGGCAATTCCTGTAGGTGTCAATTCTAGTGGGTCTACTCCTCCAGGCTCGTCATCATCAGCTACAATCGATATCCAGACGCAGTTTCTGGAAAAGTACTGGCGCAATGATCGCAAGAACATTCAGTGCTTCCCGTATTGCCCGGAACACGGCGACTATTACCGTGTGCGCATTGAGGATCTCCAGCACCAATGCAAGGGTGTTTGCCATGCTCCTGTGAAAGCCCGCGTTTCGATTCCTGCACCAGCGGGTGCTTCGGTGGTTAAGACCGGACTAACGGTATTGGCCCGCTGTAATAGCTCCTTTTCTCAACAAAAGGCTCTTACAGAGCAGCAATTGCTGAGTTCGGCGGAAATGAAATCACTACAAGGTGTTAGCACTATCGGTGTGATAAGTCAATTTACTCCAGTTCGAAACGGCACAGGAGGTGTGCAGTTCGACGTGATGTTCCACCCCGACGTGTGGAAATTCGAGTTTGCTCTTCCCAAGAAGCGGCGCCACATACAGAGCTCCAATCGGGCTTTGTCATCAGACGATTCGGTGGCTAGTGGCGGCTCTACGGCAGCAGAGTTTCTGTACTTCTTTGAGATTGACGTATTTTACTCTCGCGGAAGGACGTCGTTCGAGCGGTTGGGGCATACGAAGTCGGCCAACTTTCGTATCGGTAATACGCGCACACTCCTGCGGCAGCGCAACAAGAGGGTCGGAGAAATGTGCTGCAGCGAAGAACCGCAGACATACGTCGGTGGATGCGACAACGACAAGATGATCAGTGTTGACGACCTACCGGAGAAGAAAAAGGTGAAGGTGCATCTGGGTCAGCGTGAATTGTTGTCAGGTGCGTCATTTAGCGACGATAGCGCTCGAAGCGGTTGTGAACTGGCTGAAAGTAAACTGCTAAGTGACTGTGCCACGGGTGAAGATATTTCGTCGTCATCGAAGCTCAGCTTGCCGACGGTCAAGCCCACATGTATGGATGGTGATCGGTGTATCAAAACCGATTCGAAGGACTCGACGTGTGATCGCAAGCCGGGCTTATTGGATCTTCCTCATGCCGACTCTGATGTGTGGAAGAATATGAATGCTAGCAGTGTCGGTACGCAGCAGACAGCTGCATCTGACTATCGGTCTTATGTCTCCCCGAAGCAGAAGCATGGCAGCGTTCAGATGGCGGATTCACTAGTTGCAACTTCTACTTCATTTACGCGCAGCACCAACGAAAGACCAGCAGCTTCTACTTCCTCGGCAGTGACGGAATCATACAGTTTGCCAGAGCTGCTGCGTTACTCCTTGGCGTGCGCACCACTGTCCCTGCTGTTTATGCCTGTGGGCATCCTGTTGACACTTGTGTTCGTGATTGTTCCGCTTGCGGCTTCGAATGTTGTCGGCGCCCTGGACTCGTTGTCGGACATGGAGCTGTCTCGCGCCAACCGTAGCTGCATCTCAAGGGACCGACGTCTTGTTTTGAGTCGTCTTGTCGAAGAGAAGGGTGACAGTGATAAAAAGCCAAGTGGTGGTGGCTTGTTTCACTACCACGTCAACGGCAAAGTGTGGTACCGATTATTCTACTTCAGTGGGGCAAAGTTTGTGGTATCCATGATATCTCTCGTTCCAGCGCTTTTGCTGGCATTGTTTGCCGGGCTTCTCTATCCGATTCGTTCAGTCTCTGGTGTCATCGGGAATGCTGCCTCTAGCTGTGCACTTTGGTCGAGAGAGTACACACGTACGACCACAGGTATGCCTCTATCGGGCGACATCGTCGACTACGATGCCACGGATGGACGTGTATGATTAAGCGGTGGCACAGCATTATTCTTCAGAAACAGAACACACATTATCTTCAGCGGTTTCTGAGTAATGGTGGTGGCGCCGCTCTGGTTTCTCGTTTCGAGGTCGCGGCGTTTGTATTCTATCATCCAGCAGTTCACTATCGCGCGCCAAGCTGCTCCTTCACTTTCATTTTCACTACTGCGGTCGGTAGTCAGATGAAAAATGAGGTCACCAAGCAACATAAAGCAGAACAGACCTCAATTACTGACTCAGCTGGTTGCCTTCTTCTTTGGTCTGCGGATAAAAACTTTGCTTACTTCTCGAGATATTCGTCACGACGATACCAGGTTGAGTGTATCCAAGTGCGTTATTTCGAGCGGAATTCCTCACCCCCGGTCACCATATCAAATTGGCTGGCGAAATCGTCCATGGACAACTTGGCGGTATCATCGTCTTCATCATCGAAAACCCAAGTCGTCCCCGGCACGTACTTGGATCCCTCAGCTTCCGAGCCCGGAGGCCCCTTCGTTCCCTTCGCATAGAGCGGTCCAGCGCTACGAAAAAACACCAATCGCCATTCCAACTCAATCAATGAACAATTACACGAAAACAACTATGCCATGACGCTCTTTCTTACCCCGGCAGGGCGTCTGCAATACCAGCCGTCATGCAGCTCTCTCCAATATCTTCGATGTTGTTAAGGAGGTTCCGCGCCAGGTAGGTTGTATCTCCTGCCTTTTTGAAGAAGCTGTGCTTCAAAAGCGCTGACGTACCAGGACTAGAAAAAAACCCACAGCGTGTGTGATCAACTACGAGCGAAATACACACGCAACCACAACCGCCAGCACCATATAGCTAAGCTCACCGCTTCGACGGGTCTTTTTGCAAACAGAGCTTGACCACATCTTTGAAGTGTCGTCCAAACTGGTGACCGCTGCCGTCATCCTGAACAACCATAACACAACCATCAATCTCGTCACCGACAGCTTCCTACCATCAGCACCCACTCCAAACGTACATCATACGTCCGGAGCGACGGTGGGTCCTCCTGCAAAGTGAGCAGCAGCACTTTCATGGGCTGAAAACGTGCATACGGCGCGTAGCCTTTGGCAAGCTCTAAAGCAGTGATGCCGAGCGACCAAATGTCGGCTTTGTAGTCGTAGCCACGCACTTGTTCCATGACTTCTGGCGCCATCCAGCAGGGCGTGCCGACAAATGTCTGCCGGTTTTTCCGTCGATCCCCTCCCTCCATCATCCATCCGGACACGCCGAAATCAGCAATCACCACGTGGCCCTCGCTGTCCAATAGAATGTTGCCAGCTTTAATGTCTCGATGGATCTGGCCGTTCTCGTGAAAGTAGAGCAGTCCCTTGAGCGTCTCGTGCAGAATCACTGCAACAAAGTCCTCCTTCAGGCCTTCCCCCAGCCCCTTCTTCTTGAGCAGATTCATCACGTGCAGACACGAGCCTTTGTTCATGAGCTGCGTAACAAGCCAGAGCTGGTCCTTGTGCACGAAGCTGCAGTAGCACTTGAGCACGTTCGGGTGGTTCGTCATCTTCATCGTCTGCACTTCCGCCCGAATATCTTCAAAGCTCGTGGTGATCTTCTCCAGGTCCATGATCTTAATGGCCACGTGAATCTTCTTGGCCACGCAGTAGGCTTTCCATACCTTGGCAAACGCGCCTTGGCCGATCTGCTCAATGATTTTGTACTCGGACGCGACGGTGGGCCACTCGTCTGCCATGGTGACCGCCAATCAGGTAAGAGAAGCGACGGTAGCAAGCGACTGAGGCCGACTACTGGACTTGGAGAAATGAAGGATAGAGGCACTGGATAGAGATAGAAATGGAAAAAAAGCGAGTCGAAATCGATAATTACACTCGGGCGACATGCACACTGCATGCGGCTGCTACTGTCAGGGTCTCCACCAAGCAAAGTTCGTGTACGGCACACAACACAAGCGAGCGAGAGGCAGAGCAATTACGTGGACCACACGGAGGTAAACCACCTGATCGGGGCGAAATTTTGCGCGAAAGGTTCGTGTCGTCCCTCCTGATTGCGCAAAAACAGGCTTCATTTCTTGCACGGGTTAGGGCCGCAGAGATAGCAGCGAAATCCACAAACTCACGTTCAACCTGACGGGACGTTTCTCGGCATTGTTTTAGCAAGTCGTAGCTATTGCTTGGTCGTCTCTCGGCCACTAGTGTCACGATCTTTTCCGTGGATGAACGTAGTTACAGGCAAGCGTTTGATCAAATATGCATCCATTGACACTACACACAAGCTCTCCACACATTGTCCATCGTCAAGATTCTGCATTTTTTCTCCAGTTTCTTTGCCATTTCCGTGAGAATATAAACGACTCGCAGATCTTTTGTTCATCTGACTCGACGTCGCTAAATCGCAGCTGACCGCGACGCGTCGACCACATGAAACCAGCACGAATTACGCTCTAAAAGCTACAAGTTAGTTTCCCCCGCACGCAACACCCGGCCCTTCCCCTAGTCAGAAAGAAAACGTGGTGCCACGTGTGGACCGTAAAAACCGGTACAGGAAAAGCAGTTTATAGAACCACTTTATTTTCAGCCCCAAAGCCAATACCGGAAGATCCGATCATTGTGCATGAAGACGCCGGTTGGAGTGCGCGTGCGGCTCGCGCTGAGCCACCAGCGCAACTTGCGCTACGTGCTGCTCGTCGCCTGCTGCGCGCTGCTGCTGGTCACGTATCTGCTCCTGAAGCTGCCCACGCCGTCCACGTACGACAAGCTCTCGGACGAAGAAGACAAGCGGTACAACACGCAAGAGATGATGCAGCAGTGGCCCGGCAAGTGTCACATCAAGAACTTTGAGCAGCTCCGGCGCATGTCTGTCGTCTACACGTGGGTCAATGGCAGCCAGCCGTGCTACCGAGCGCTACGGGAGAAAACAGGCGGCAAACGCGCCGTCGGCGGCTCGCGAGACCGTGAGATTGGCGAACTCAAGTACTCGATCCGGTCGTTCGAGAAACATGTGACGTGGCACGTGGGGCAGATTTACATTGTCACGCCGGGCCACATTCCCGAGTGGCTCGATATGAACAACCCGCGCGTGAAAGTGATCCATCAGGACGAGCTCTTCCCCGAGTATGCCAAGCAGTTTATGCCGACGTTTAATTCGCACGTGATTGAGCAGTTTCTGTACCTGATTCCAGGCCTCTCGGACATTTTCATGCAGGTGAACGACGACTATTTGTTTACGAAACCCATTACGCCGCACGAGTTTTTCTCGTGTGATGGCGGTATTCGACTGTTGCATGAAAATGGCTTGATTTCTCATGCGCCACCGGCGGAGAAGAAGGGTATTTGGATCTCGTCCGTGCTGAATACGCAACAGGAGATGGATCTGCGCTGGGGCAAAACCGACCGCCATTTTATCAAACACGCACCGTTTGTGTACTCGCGGCACGCGTTCGAGCGCGTCCATCAGATCTTTGATCGCCCGTTGTATATGACGCTCAAGAGCAAGTTCCGTGCGAAACCGGATATGAACATGCCACTGTTGCATCACTACTACATGGTGGCGCAAGGCAGTGAGGAGCTCGGAATTCCGGTCTACTCGCCTCCTGTGTCCGAGATGACTGGATACAAGCTCATTCTGATGCAGAATAACAACATTGACAAGCTCAAGGAGATTTTTGGACAGATCCTTGATGGATCATCGCCTTTTAAAGTGGTTGCGCTCAACGACGAGTACACGGACATGCGTGTGGCCGACGTTGCCATGGACTTCTTCAAGAAGTATCTGCCTGAGCCCAGTAGCTTTGAGCGCAAACCAGGTGCTGCACCTCACCCGCTCTCCGTGCACAAGCCTGGCACATGCGAAGTGGACCCGACAATCTTGCCGCCGTCTCCACGGAGAGTAGAAGCTGCACCAAAGTACCAGGTGCTTGCGTACCGTGAGGTGCGTTGGGTGGCTTTTACCAACTCGTTGTTGCGTGGTGTGGGCTTCGGTCTCGGAGCGATTATCATGTACACCATTTATTTGCTTGTGCTGCGCCGCGACAAGACATCCAAGGGGTCGAACAGCATATACAACAAGGTGTAAGCATCTAAATGGCAAGAACAAGAGCAGAAGGCTTCCAGTGGGCAGAGGCCGAAACGCGGTGCTACGAGCCGGCAGCATGATATGCTTCAACAAGTGGTTAGTGGGCTTAGTGCGCGTATGCACAGCACGGAGTAACGTGCTCCGATTTGCCAGCGTTCTCTGCAGAATAGACGTCGCATCGATCTTCGTTTTGTGCTTCTCGTTGGCTGTTCCTTGTGTGCGTTGTGCATTTACCAGGACGACTGTATGCAAAGACCGAAGCGAATAGCTTTGTCAAGACACAGCGCGCAGTCACGCGTGAGCCCATTTACCAATATGATTGATCTACCATTTACACGTAGCGAGGAAACATCACGGAAATTCGGCACAACGACTTGACCGTCACTTATGTTTGCTTCGTGGCGTTTGACCCTGGAGTACGCTTGCTTGAAAAGCGGGAGATGTAAACGGAGATCACGGCCGCGACGACCAGGCCGATAATGTAGCCGACGCTCGAGGCCAAATTCCACCCAAACGATGGCGTCATGTCTTCAAAGGCGCGCGCGTAAGGCGATCGGATCCGAGTGAGTGTCGGAGCCCAATGACCGCCAGCATCTTCCTCTGCTTGCAGCGACATAAAGCCGGGCTCAGGCAGTGGGATAACATCACGGTCGTACACGCAGTCGTCGCCGTGCCAGTTGCTCACTATGCTCACGTGCTCGCCTTCAGGCAGTTCAAAGAAAGCTTTCTCCGGCAGCAGCTGGGCGTAAAACCGACCAACGAGTTCCGCCGTCTCCTTGTCCTTGTACTCGTCGTTCAGTGCCAGCATGATCTCGGGCCCCTCGTTGTTGAGCGCCTGCTTGAACCGCGCATTGAGCGCCGCTTCCTGCTTGTCTTTCACACGCACCAGAAGCCAGTCGTCGCACTCACTCAGAGGATTCAGTTCCACTGGAATGCCGAGCAGCTTTGACCCCTCTTCCAGCATGTAGATATGGTGCAGCAGTGGCATATTCAGGTCCTTTGCGTGCCGCGTCTGATGCGACAGCATGGCATCAAGTTTCTCGCCAAACTTCTTATGGATCTCCTCGAACGCGAGGCGACTGTAGACAAACGGCGCGTGTTTCAAAAAGTTAAACACGTGTTTTCCACCGTACGCCTTGTCCGTGAGCATCACCGTGTTGCGCACACTTGCGAGCCACAAATTCGAGTTTTGTGCCGCAACGTGACGAATGTGGTTAATCTCCGTCAATAGACGCAGTCCACCTTCACACGTGAACAGACGGTCGGGCGTCACTGGCTTGATGAATAAATAGTCATCGTTCATGTGAATAAACACGTCCGTGAGGCCCGGGATCTTGTACAGATACTGCTCAATCACGTTCGTATCGAACGTCGGCAGCGTCGTCTTGTCCCTAGGCAAAAGGTCGTCCTGGTCCACGACACGCACGCGCGGGTTCGACAGGTCCAGCCAGTCCGGGATCTGGCCCGGCGTGACAATGTAAATGGGTCCCTCGAGCCACGGCGCAAACTTGAGCAGCGACCGCAGCGAGTACTTGAGCTCGCCCATCTCCTTGTCACGGGAAGAGCCACCACTTGGCAGTCCTGCACGCTCGCGGCGTTTGTTGTAGCACGTCTCTGTGCCGTTCACCCACGTGTAGACGATTGCTGCGTGGCGCAATGTATCGAGGTTAGCGACGTCACAGACAGATCCGTCTCTTGACGACGTGCCACTGATGAGTTCAGCCACGCGCGCGGGGGGATCCGGCTCCTGTTTCATGTAGAGAAAAGTAGACAAAGTCAATGCGAACCCGAGCAGCGCGACGAGGCTCTGCATGGTGCCTAGAAGGAGAGGAGAGAGAGGAGAGAGAGAGAGAGGCGAGCGAGAGCGTCGCGGCGACGACGTGCGTATCTGCTGGACGTTTGTAAACTGATGCAGGAATGATGGTAAATATCTGAAGCGGGAATTTGCACCAATCGCTGCGATCGAAGCCAGAAGCAAACAACCATGACAACCGCGAACGTGCTCGTGCTCGGCGGCGCCGGCATGGTTGGCCGCAACTTTGTCAAGTACCTCGTGGACCACGATGTCGTTGCGGCGGTTCGAGTAGCGGACAAGACGATGCCCGAGATCGCCTACTTCAGGTGCGAATGGAACGCGTTTTATGGACGTCGGACTCTGGTTCATCTCTCTCTCTCTCTCTTTGACTATCTTTACTGATGTGTGGCGACCTTCTCTGGGTGTTTCTATTCGCATGGCAGCGCCTCACACAAACAGGCATTTGCTGACAAGCGCGTGACGTTCGTGCAGGCGGATTTGACCCGTGATGCGCACGTGGACCGCGCATTTAACCCGGACTTTGGTCCCTACGACTTTGTGTTTAACCTCGCGGGGGAGTCCAAGTGCGGACTCTCCGAGACCGTCTACGCTTCGAAATGCCGTGATCTGTCCGTCAAATGCGGTACGTCTGGACTCGGAGCTGCACATGGGTCGAGAGGCAGCCGCTGGGCTGCTGATTGTCTTGTGGTTGCAGTCATTCTGTGGGGATGTGTTCTGACTGAAACGACGTTTTATCCCGGTGCTGGTAGCCAAGAAAGCACAGGACCTTGGTGTCAAGCGCTACATTGAAGTGTCGACGGCGTTCGTGTACAAGTCGCAGGTCAAGCAGCCGGCAAAGGAGGATGCGGAGCTCCAGCCGTGGACTTTACAGGCCAAGTACGAACTCGAGGCTGAAGAGGAGATTCGTCGTTTGCCGGACCTCAAGGCTGTATTCCTTCGCTTAGCGACGGTATGTTGCATGAATGGATAAGATGTCGACTGCTGTCGCTGACTCTTTCGGGGATACCTTGCTGATTGTGCGCTAGGTGTACGGGTCGGCAGACTCGATGGGACTCATGCCGCGGATTGTCTGCGCTGCCTCGTATGTGTGACTTGCTGAAGTACGATATCTACTGGATTACGCGACTGACCTGTTTGGTGCACTACCGTGTCTCAGATATGTGAAGCTGCAAGAAAAGATGAAGGTGCTGTGGGACGGGGAGATGCGTGTCAACACGGTGCGATTTGTTGCATTGCGTGACTCAAAATCAGACCGAATTCCTGAAGAATCGCATTGCTTGAGCAGGTACACGTGCTTGATGTGTGCCAAGCGTTGTGGCATGTCACGACTGCCGGAAACGATGGTGAAATCTACAACTTGGTCGACAAGAATGACACGAGTAAGTGCAGCATGTACTCACTTCTGTTGCCCGTCCACTCGCACTAACAGCTCTGTACTGCTCGCAGCCCAGGCGAAGATAAACGCTATTTTGGAAGTGATCTTCCACATCAAGTCAGGCTTCATCGGCAAGCTGGTGTCCAACCTAGCCCGCGTGCGACTTGCTGACGTGGTGGATGATGCCAACGACAAGCACATGCAGCCTTGGGCTGATCTGTGCGCGGTACGCTCTTCCCTTCCTTACAGTCGTTTCTATCATTGACGTGTCGTTTTGTAGCTCACTTGCGGCCTGTGTTGTTTGACTTATGGCCTGGCATGTAGGACCACGGTATCACGAACACGCCGCTGACGCCTTACATCGACAAGGAGCTCCTGCAGCACAATCACATCTACGCGGACGGTTCTAAAATTGAGTCGACGGGCTTTCGATACAAGTACCCCATGGTGCGATGCAATTGTAATGCACGGACTGTGTGTGTTATCGAGACTCATCACTGATACTTTGTGGCAGCTGGAGACGAAGGAGGTGCGCGCGGTGCTGGAAGAGATGATCCAGCAGAAGATTTTCCCGCCAATCTTGGCTCGAGAATAACGGTGACAGAGCCGCGACGGTGTGTACGTAAAAGAGGCAGCAGGATGTAGCCCCGGACTGCTCGACACTCAGCCACGCGTGACAAGGCGAGAGTCGGTTTCGTTGCCAAGATCTTGCCATCTGTTTCCGCTACAAACAGACGACCGTGACGGGAGTTGCTGACGTTGTGCCACGCGTTTCTAAGTCGGTTAGAAACCCGTCAACCGCACGACAGTGTCAATAGAAACCCTTGCCCGATTCCGAGCGTACGTGTGCCGCACGCGTCTCTGTATCTTCTTCCCCTCCCTTCTTGCACGTCCTTCCGTGTACGTTGACGCGCTTCCTCTACCTTCCTGCGCTCACTCGCGCATCGTGTAAGGGGGGCCGGGCGTCTGTCTCGCCCGCGTGGCTTTCGGTACATTCGAGCAACACGCACCACCTACTCGCCGATAGAAATCTAAAGTAACAGTTACTTCAGCCACACACGACGCACGCGAGCCAAACGCCGCTATGGACACGAGCGCAATGTCCCCGACCGAAGGAGAGCTGGACGGCTACGACGACACGGCGCCGTACAAAGAGCCAGCGAGTCTCTTGTCGTCGACGAGCACAAGTCCAGCAGATCCAGATCTCGGAGCTACTGGCCCATTGAGTGCCGTGGACTCGCTGCCCAGTTGCACCAAGTTGAAGCGACTGAAGCGGAAGGAGCGACTGCGCACGCAGTCGGAAAGTGCCGCGTGGACGAGAGCGTCGCTACGGATGCGGCCGTCTCCGGCTGTGGACGACGTCGACGCGGCGGCGACACCCGCAGCAGTAGCTACAGCAGATGGTGCGCCCTGTCTCGCGACACCAGGAAGACCTGACGAGCCCCGTTACGACCACATTGTGCGGACCAGTGAGAGCTGCTTGTCGCATTTTGCGCTGGACATGATCGATGGACTGGACGTGGCAACCGTGACAGGTGGAAAGGACGTGACGTACCGTCGACGCAGTCACGATAGTGTCTCGATGGCCACGACCGTCGTGCTAGCGAGTCGAGAAGGTGTGATCAATATGTGGCGACAACAGGGACAGATATCGGAACGGGCGTCGGAGATTCTAGAGGATGCCAAGCTGTCGCTGCATGGGAAGGAGAAGAATCTGTACAATGCGTCGTTGCGGCGGTTGTCCGAGGCTCATGATCCTCGACTGAACACACTTGGAAAAAGGATGTCGTCTGTAACAGCTGTGGGCAGCAAGACGGCCCCCTTGGCTGCGACTAGTAACGTTTGTAGCGTCGAGCAGTGTGCGGAGGACGGATCTGACGAGGCAATTGACAAGACAGAAGTGCTGGACATGGTGTCGACGCATGGTGATACGGATTCGATGCTGCCGAATGGAGACAGGCCAACGTTGGATCTCGATGAAGAGATGAGCGTGCACTCGCCGTTAGGAGTGGATGAGCGGGATTCTAGTTTTCGACCGCAATCGAGAACATTGTATCATGAAGCTGTGAAATGGGAAGGCGTATTGACGAGACGAAGTGAGTGGCTGAGGAGGTTGGAGCGACACTACTACGTACTCGAAGGCAAGTTCCTGCGAAGGTTTGCGTCGAAAGAGGCGTATTTATCGTCTAGAGACGAGCCACTTGTGCCTCACCATATCCAGCCACCAAGCGATCCGGGTAAGCCTGCACCTGGCAGCCCTGCTGCTAGTACGATTCGGCGTAACTCTAGCAGTCCAGCGTCCAGCGGTGTGAGTCATCTGTACGTGCTAGCAGGGGTTAAGGACTCGTCTAGTCGTGCGAACGGATTCACCTTCATTACCGAAGACAAGAAGACTTTGCAGGTGACAGCCCCAACAGCCGTGGAGAAAATAATATGGATGCGACTTGGGCTTGAAGCTATAGTAGCGCTTCCCACGCTTCCTGTCGCACCGCTTGATATGGAGGAATTCTACGCGATGTTGGTGGTACTCTACACGGCCCACAGTGGAAATTGGCGAACGGAGGGCGACATGGCTGTCACGCTTCCCCCGCCATCAGAGCAGGTGTTTACGCGTTTCTTTCGTTTGTTGGATAAGGATGTTATTTTCTGCTCGAACTATCCGCCGTCAGTGCCATTTCACGGATCGTTCCGCGGCCACGCTGGCGTCGTGACTTTCATGCATGACTTTGCTCGGCATACGCTTTGGACCAACTTCAAGATTGGTGGCATGTCGATCGATGGATCGATCGCTGTTGCGTCAGGCAAGGAGGAGCTCGAGAATCGGCGTGATGCGCGCAAGTTCGTCCAGAACTGGATACACAAGTTCACATTCTATTCAGATGGACGACTTGCGCGATTTGAGATCAACGGCGACGTCGTAGCAGCAAGTGCGGTCTTCAAAGTCCCTGGTGCAGCAACGACACTTAAACTTCCGCAAGAATATAACGAGGTGGACGCTGAGCACGGCCTTGACGGTGTATTGCTTGTTCGAGTCATGCAGGGCCATGGACTCAAGGCAGGTATTTCTGTGAAGAAGATTGTCAAGGAACCGAGCATTACGGTGCGGCTACAGTACCGCGAGCAGCCTGAGCCCAAGTCAATGTCGAGTGCGTCCACATCAAGTTCGTCTACGTCCGCTTTAGTGGGCTCGTCGACACTTATCGGTGGAATCACGATGCCGAATCTATCGCGGAAGTTTAGTTTTATGACCTCCGTAGCCAGTTCTGCCGCTTCGGCAGCGTCTTCTGCTGTTGGTGTTGGTCATATGACCACCTCTACGTTCAACAGTTCGACTCCGGTGGTAGATTTACTAAGCACCGGTACTCCTCGCAACACTGGAGACGAATCGTATTTGCCGACTCACCCGGTATGGAATCTGGTGCTGGAGCTCCCGTTCAGTGATGTCATCGGCACATGCTCGCTAGTGGTGGACGTAAAAGATCACTCGAAGAACGGGGTCGAATCGCAGCTCGGTTTCGCTACGCTAAACGTGGCCAAATACCTGATGGCTGCAGACAGCTCTGAGCGCACGAAAAAGCGAGAAGAGGCGGCTATGGCAGCTGATAGCAAATGGTATTCCATTAGCAACGCGAAAGGTGAATATTGCGGTAAGGTCCAGCTTGGTATTACCTGCCGACGCGTTAAGCTGGACGAGAGTGATAGCGTACAGCCGCGACTAAACAAGAGCCAGAGCGTCGTGATTGACCGGAAGAATCCTCCGTCATCGTACATGTTGCAATGGGATGCCACTCCAGCAGCTCATTCACTACCGTTGTTGGGTGCTGCGGCAACTCCGGCACTCAAAAAGGGTATGACGCTGGACGAAATACCTAGTGGGTGCGAACATGCGCGCCGCCATGGCTGGGCGAACGTGAAACTCTCTCCAGAGAACACTGCCCGTACGCAATCGGCGGGTGCCATTGTTAGCGGTGAGTACAGCAAGGACGATGAAGATGATACAGTGAACAAGCACTTTTCTTCAGGGGAGGGAAATGGTGTAGCGCTACCAACAGCAACAGACGCTGTTGTGTGTAAGGAGAATGCTGGCATGCATACGTTCATGGTGTGCGGGGCCCCTTTCACGATTCCGCGTCATTACCAGCTCATTAAAGTATGCGGCCGTGGTGCCTATGGCATTGTGATTGCCGCCACGAATTTGCGAACGGGTGGTAACGTTGCGATTAAAAAGGTCATCGACTGTATATGGCACCCACATCAACTCAAGCAGATTTTGCGCGAGTGCCGATTGATTCGACACATGGCTCATGAGAATATCTTGAGTTTGCTGGACTTGATTCCACCGCCATCGTATACCGATTTCCGTGACGTTTACATGACGGTGGATTTGATGGAAATGGATCTGCACCGCATTATTTACTCGAAGGAGGTATTACGTGATGATCATATCCGTTACTTCTTGTACCAAATGCTCAGCGGCTTGCATCACATGCATCGTGCAGGTGTGCTGCACCGCGACCTGAAGCCCAGCAATCTGCTGATCAATTCTGATTGTCAGCTCAAGATTTGCGATCTTGGACTAGCACGGTCCAAGGAAGCGGATGACGTGGGTATGACCGAGTACGTGGTCACGCGCTGGTATCGTGCACCGGAGCTTTTGCTGGGCAGTGCTTACGGCGAAGGTGTGGATCTTTGGGCGGCAGGGTGCATTTTTGCCGAGATGCTGAGCCGCAGGCCTTTGTTTCCCGGTGAGACTTATGTCCACCAGCTCCAGCTTATCATGAATGTGCTTGGCGTGCCGGAGGAGCACTCGTTCAAAGAGAATCCGTTGGCCAACAAGCTGAAGGGCCGTCAACTACTGAGCCGAACTCAGGCCGTGGCTGGGGTCGACACGAGCACCATGTTCCCGAACGCAAATCCCGAAGGGTTGGACCTGCTATGGAAGATGCTCGTGTTTGACGTGGAGAAGCGTATTAGTGTCGAGGAGGCGCTGCAGCATCCTTATTTGGCCATGTATTACGATGAAGAGCGCACGAATGTGCCGGTGGAGAAGTTTGAAAGTTTTGATTTGGATGATCTCGACGAGTCGGATCTCAAGGAGCTCATGTTTAAGGAGATTTGTCATTTCCATCCCGAAGAGATGGTCAAGCGTGCGCAACAGCAGCGGGAGTACCCCGAGACCGTGGAGAAACTTCCTCCTGGTTGGGTCAAGCGCGAGTCGCGAAGTGTGCCTGGCAAGTATTACTACAGTAATCTGAAGCGCGGCATCAGCACGTGGATCAAGGAAGAAATGGATTAATGTAGGTTTGTTTTTGCGTGAATAAACGCTCTTTGGAGCCAACAGAGAGTAAAATACAAAGATGAAATGGATTAACGTAGGGTTGTTTTTGCGTGAATAAACGCTTTTTGGAGCCAACAGAGAGTAAAATACGTCAAGTGTACGAATGTTGAGGGGGGGGAAGCAAAGTCTACGTCGTGCTTTGGTTTTAGTAGTCACGTAGAAAAAAATAAGAAACCCTGATGGCGAATCCTTTGGTCAAAAATAGGGCAACACGCCAACGATGCCAAGCCGCACTTAGCGCAGCCAATCAGCGACGCCGGTGGACCGCACACTAGAAAACACAAGTATACCGACACTCTGTGGTCTACTTGCTCTATCAGCGGCTAGTCAGCTCGCAGAGGCTGCAATCACCGTCGTTGTTCGTTGAGGCGACGGAAACAAACACTTGCCGTGCTTGGAGCTCCACGGCGACTGCGAGTAGGCCGCGTACACATCTTCTTGTAGCTGAGGACTTGTACGTACGCGGTGCATCTTGACGCGCGCGTGCATCAGTGGACCTAAGCTCGCACAGCGACCGAGTACTGGCTGCAGTGGAGCCATGTGGCGTCGCTCGTTGACAAGGAGCGGATCGAGCGCCGACGTCCAGTAGTCGCTCTCGCTCGTTATCGTCGACGACGTTGAGAAACAGTCGTCACTTGCTGCGTCCGTGGCAAGGGGTTTCTCGAATGTACGTGGTGAGACGTGGCAACGGCTCTTGTACTGGGGTTGAAAAGGCACAAAGTAGTCGTCGACTACCTCGATGCGATCCAAGCAGCGTCCTTTCAGGCGCTTGCCTTGTGTGTCCACATAGAAAGCGCAGTCGCTTGTTTCCTCTAGTAAACGGCTATAAGACGCTGATAACATGCGACGACCAGACGATGCCGTGGACTTGTTTGATTGCACCAGAAACGTGTCCCAGCTATAACACAATCAGCGGGCGAGCGAGAGCGTCAGCAAACGTACTTAGCAAGACACTTCGATGTACCGTGAGGTCGGAAACGTACTTAACGGACTCGTCGTCGTCGTCGTCGTGGTTCTTGTTGTTGACGTGCTGTGGGCGTTCAGAGCTCCAGCTCGTCTGTAGTCCCCCGAGAAGAGACAGAGCGCTCGATTGCCTCGTCTGACCGACGTCTGGGGTATCCTTGTCACCAAAACACGCGAGAGCTGCCCCCATTGTTGCAAATGAGCAAGTGACGCAGTTTCAGAGAACGCCGACGCGCTCTGATTGAGGCGTGGGTGTTTTCGCGCGGCTGCGGGGCCGTCCTACTGGCCAAGCAACTTCAACGTCAGCGAACGACCAGCCGAAAACAAGGAAACGAGACGACCCAATGGTGTTTTGGCGATGTTCCGACTTGGGTTTTGTATGAGGCGAGTCGGTTTCACGAGTCACAAAAAAAGAAGCCCAAACACTGTCGAGCATACAGTTCCCAAGGTGTTGAATCTTTCGACCGTGCAGAAGTGGCTGCTATTTGAGCGCAGCAGCGTTAGTAACGACTCGACACCGTCGCGCGAAAGAAACGCTAGGTATAGACGCAATTAAATCGTTGTTGTTGTTGTTGTCATGTCCGTCTATTAACATATGATTATGCTAAAGATGTCTGAAAACTTCTAAGCCAGGACAATAGCTCCGGAACTGGTAGCTTGTCGTGGCTGTCACCTAAAGGTATCGGCTTATCCCGAGGTTCGAGAATAAAGAGGTCGATACAGGTATGCATGATAGCCCCGGTGACAGCTGTGGCGGGACCGCGATGTTCGCGTTTTGCTAACGCGGTAAGATGTCGAATTCCCAGCGCCCAAAAACGCGCGGCGCTGTGGAGAGGCGTCGACTGCACTCCTCGAAAAACCGCGTCGTTCCGCTCATTCCATAAGTGAGTCAGACAAATGCTGCTCATAATAAACCAGAGACGCTTCCAAACCGCGACACCAGCCTCTAAGTCCTCCGGGAGCATATGGTAAATCCGAAGACGCTGCTTGGACGGTATCTCCGGCGCGTGACGATTCACACTCCCGACGAACCAACGCTCTTCCCACGGCCTCCCAGCCCGTTCACCTGTCCAATGGGTAATGAGTTGACCCCAGCACGCGCGCGCTTGGGGCAGTCCCAAAAGATGTGAGCCGGCGTTTCTTTGCAACCGTGACACGCCAATAACGCCCGGCAACTATTGTCCGCCGGACGGCCGGCATGGTACAAGTTGAGTTGCTTGGTGGCTATACGGTAACACGTCCAGACCTGATGGTCGGAAAGGCCATTGTCATGCTTCCAAACGTGTGCCGGGTCTTGGTTTGCGGCAGCCCGCTGCCACTGATCGAAGTCACAGACGGCCTCCAGACGCCGCACCAGCGGTCGCAATGCGACTGCAAGAAGTCTTTGTGAAACGTGAACGCCAGGCGTGAAATAGCTTTTCGTATAGCTAAGTTCGCGACCGACTCGGCGACGGCCCAAGGAAAGCCATGATGCCCGGGATGGGAGTAAAACACGACGCCGTGACGACGCAAGCGTAGGGCCCAAACGGATCTGTCCTCGTCCGAATTAGTAGATAACTCTGGTAGGTGAGTGGTGAAAAACCAGCGAATTCCATCCGCACTCTGCTGCAGTTCAACAGGCTGGTCAGCGACTTCCAAGTACCCCTCTCGCCTCCCGACCACTCGACCTTGTTGGACCGAGGCCCAGGTCCATTCATGTCGAAAAGGTGGTGCATGGCGAAGAACCAGCTCAGGTTCGAGCGCTAATTCGCCCCCAATGGGGAACGTAGGGGATGCCAGCAAGATTGCCGTCGCCCACCGACGGAGTTTAGGCTGCGAGTGGTGAAAAGATCGGGGTCCAACCGGCTTAATGCGAAAAATAAATTCAGTTGGCCCTGTTCGCCGAATGTGCAGGTCCGAGATGGGGCAGATGGCGATCCTGTCATAGGTAGCGGATTTTAACGAGAGGCCATTGCCGTCCTGGATCCACGGGTTATTACTCCAGCCTAGTGTCCCCCAAAAGCGATGAATCGCACACTGTTGAGGATCGAGCGCAGGTAACCCAGCCGGGAAAGGGTGATGATACGACAGCACCCATTCCTCCTCCTCCCACCAGCTACTGGCGCCGTGGAGGATGGGGTGGTAGTACGTTCGTACCCGCTCGCTGAGAATGGTGGCTTGCTCTACCGTAGGGTGTAGAAGCTTGTCAACGTCCGGTACCCATGAATTTGGGGACGGTGCCCCGACACACGATGCAGCCCCAGCTGCCTGCGTCCTGCAATGGAGAACCAGACTCGAATTTGTCGGCCGGCCTTGATAAGCCCACGCACTCCAGGCTCCAAAATACTTGTCCTGAGCTTGTGTGAGCCACTGTAAAGCGTGCTTGGTACGCTGCGTTTTAATAGCCACCTCCAAAGAGGCCAACCCAATCCCCCTGCCTTTTGGGGGTGAAAAGTAGTCCCGGGTTAATCTTGTGTCGGCTGGCTTCCGTTGAAGTCGCATGAGCCCATAAAAATTGTTTGTACAGGTTGTGGACAGCAAGTCGTGCCCACTCAGGCATATCGAACACCGCCGCCGTGAACAGAACAGACGGGAGAATGATGGAGTTGAGGATCAACACCCGATTCGCCACACTGGTCGCCACCCTGGAAGCTGTCATTAGCCTCCGTTGAAGCTTCCGGATACGAAGCGCCCAGTTGCAATTGTGTAAGGGTCTCAGTCCTACTTGATAGCCCAGGTATCGCACCGTGTCCGCATGTTGAAGGACCGGAATGCCCCGCATATCGGCTACGTGCACAGCCCGATTAAGACAAATGATCTGACTCTTGGAGGGTTGGGCAACTAGCCCTGATAGGGTCCCAAATTGAGAGAGAAGAGCTATCGCTGGCTCTAGCTGACTGGCCTTCTCGAGAAAGATCGTCGAGTCATCCACAAATGCCGAGAAAACGTGCGTTGCCGGATGTCGTCCAGGGACAGGAAGCCCAGACAAATCTGGTGATTGCTGTACCGCAACGCCCAATATCTCCACCACGACGAGAAAAAGCAAAGGGGCGAGTGGACAGCCTTGCCGGATACCGGAAACGACGGAGATGGGACGAGACTGTTCCCCATTTACAAGGAACGCGGCCGAAGTACCAGTATGTAGACGAGTTATAAGCTGAACATACCTTTCCGCGAAACCAAATTGGCGAAGAGCCTCATACAGGAATTCGCGATCGACCGTGTCATAAGCCTTGCGGAAATCCAGTAGGAGGATCACTCGGCTGTCGTCGGCGGATGTAGTTGTATCCGATGTTGCTGTCGCCAGTTGAGCGAGCATCATCAACACTAGTTTAGACATCTGGCGTCCGTGTACGAAGCCTTGCTGCGAGTCACCAATGACTTTTGGTAATACGCGTTGCAGTCGTGTTGCCAGCACTTTCGCAAAGATCTTGTAGCTGGTTTGGAGTAGAGAAATCGGTCTGTAATCCATCGCATCCGCCGAGTCTCCCTTTTTTCGCAAGGGTATGATCAAAGCTTCGAGAAATGAAGGCGGGGGATCAGCTCCAGCCAAAATTTGATTGCTGAGCTGGACCAGGGCGGGGACAAGAAGTGCAGACGTATCCTTGTAAAAATCGTTGTTGAGCCCGTCCAGTCCCGCCGACTTATGTCGACTGAGCCCAGAAACGGCTGCAAGGACTTCCGCTTCCGAAAAATCAGCCAAGAGAGCCCGGTTGTCGGCAGAAGACAAGACTCGGTCTGTGGGTAGATTGACAAAACGGCGAATGGCTGACGGCAAGTCCACTCTCTCCTCCTGGCAATGAACTTTGCCAAGGACTGTAGACCATTCGGAGGCAAATTTATCCGCATTAGTCATATCCCGGGTAAAATGCGGGCCGTGGATGCGCGAAATTGTTGTGACTGTTTGATTGCGTTCCCAGTCGGCAACCCGCTTGTAAAAATAGCGCAACTGGTCAGCCGTCCTGGCGAGCTTCTGGCCCAGTCGCACCAGATGTTCCTGCCGTAATTCCTCCATATTGCAGGAGATAAATTGCGGCCGGGTCAGGAGAGGTCGCCGAGCTCTGCCCTGAATCTTCCGACGAAATCGCGCTCTGCGCTGTTTGACCCGCTTCCGGATGCGTCGAACGCACTGTTGACACTCTGTGACATCCGCGTCCCAAGTGAGGGTAGAAACGCTCTGACCTATAGCCCTTCCGTCCATTTCCGCGACGAGTTCGTCAACGATCCTGCCAGGGTTCGATGAATGAATCGGATATGTTACACGCCCATGCCGGCATGACGAACGAGGTTTGTTCAGGTCACGTAGGTGTAGCACAACCTCCTGATGGTCCGACTGATTGGATGGCACCCGCGCTTCAATCCACAGCACGCGACCTACCCACCCCTCAGGCACATAGAAACGATCGATGCGACTGGCACGGTCCCCATTCCAGTAAGTGAAATGATCAGTAGGATCGCCAGTGCCCTCGTCATCCGCATGATCCCGAAGATCTCTCGCATCCGCCAAGCCCAGTGTCGCAACTGCCGCGTCCAGGGCAGGGCTTTCCGATCGGTGCGATCGGTAACTGCCGTACCGATCGAGGAGAGGGCACTGGACGCAGTTAAAGTCGCCCGCCATAATAGTGTTGGAGGCCATCAAATTCCAGCTGAGAAGGGAAGTAAAGAAGTCTTCCCGTTCACCTCGCAGTGTAGGTGCGTACACATTGATCAGAACATCCTCCCCAATGGAAATTGCGATCGCCCGGGGTGACCAGCGTTCCGGTTCCCAGGCCGAAGCTGTACGAGCAGAATGAGGGGTAAGAAGAATGGCAACACCAGCACGGCTAGAAGAGCCAATACTCCAGAACGATAGAGGAGGAGCGTCAGGATCCCAAGTGTTGACCCCATAACTGAGCCCACCTGGAACTCAGCCTACCCGCCTCTTCGTCAGTATGTACATGCGTCTCCTGAATACACCAAGCCTGCGGGCGACGGATCTGAGGCGCACTACGCCACGCCGACAACCACCCTTCCCGAGCGCTAGCCTTGAAGCCCCTCACGTTTTGAGAAATAAAGAGCCTGTCCCCACCCCGAGAATCCAGTGGATCAACTGCTGAAGTCCAGGACGGAGACCAGTCGTGAAGTTTGCGATGCCGGCTGTAGGCGTCAGCTTCCTCAAAGAAAGGAACTTCGGGGCTGAAGACGAAATTCTGCTGTAAGCTGCCCTTAGTACTCGAGGAGGAACCTCTGCTCTGCCGGGGCCAAAGCAGTAGTAAAATAGCGAACGAGCGCAGTCCAGTCGATCGGAGCATCCCCGTCTGGGTAGTACGTATCCTTGTAGGTACTATTGGTCCGAAGTAAGCGAAAGTGGCAACGGAGTTGCTCGGGAGGGCGTACTGGCTTTCCGCCAGTCCCCGTCAGAGCAAAAATCTCGTTGTCGAACACGATGGCACACATGAGGTGGTGACTCATTCGGACGCGTCTGTGCGGGTCACACAATCGTAAAATGTCGTCCCCCGCATAGTTAATCCCTCGCAACTTTCTCCAATCGTCGGAATTGTCAATCAGAGGGGCCAGCAGAGACGGCGAAAGGCGCTGCTGCGATCGAGCAATCCATTGGTCGAGCCAAACACCCGTGGGTAGCTCTGTCACTCGCTGTCGGAATTCTAGGAGCCCGGATAATAAGCACTCCTGGCGCCACAGCGCCGTCCACTGTACAAAAACTGTGTCGGACAAGCTAGCAAGTACTTCGTCTGGAAAGACGAAGCGGCGCAAGTGATGTAGTAACAATTCCGGCTCCAAACGAGCCGTAGCCTCCCACCCGTTGGAGTCTCCATATACTAGAGGATACGGAGTTGCTGCTGACGGCGGCCATTCGGCTCCCAGATAACTCCAGAGCTCTGGCCATTCGTCCCGATCGATTCTGTCGTCCGGCGCGTCTAGTGAAGATTTCCGAAGGGCTGAACGAACCCGACCTTTCTTGTGGCGAGAGCCGATCGGAACGACAGCACCTGGATCCGCAGACGCCGCCAGGAGCGGGGGAGAGCCGCCGTGGCCCCGTTTCCGCGCCGCAGAGGCCATCCCGCGTTCGCGACAGCTGCTCGAAGTAGAAGTTAAAGCCAATTGACCAGAGGGTTGTGCCGAGGTTCGAGCGACCGCGTCTCCAGCGTCGTAAAGGACGATCGACGTCCGGTCACCGCTGTCAGGAAGGAGTTTGTCGTCTGAGGGCAGTGCTGAAGCGCTTTTCTCCTCCAATGGTACCAACGCTGTGGCTCTAGTGTCCCCGAAGGAGTGGACCGGATCCTGAGTCGACGCACTCGGCCCGTCCTGGGTATCGGTAAGGTTTAACGGATCGGCCACTCCCGCTGAATGGAGAAATGCCGAGTAGTGGCTGCCGCCAAACCGCAACACTAACGGTAGAGCCTGACTCGCCCCGACTTTGGTAGCCTGCAGCTCGTCGATACACGCCATAATAGAAAGGGGGTACTCTTTTACAGAAGCCACCGCCCGTCCCCGTACAGTCATCGAAACGGGGTGATACTTGCGGCAACGCCACTGAGGGGTGGCTTCTTCGCGTTGAACGACAAAGATGTCTCTCTGTAAAAACGTGGCTGCCATGCCGAGTGTGTCACTGCCCCCCAACAGTCCGTAGGCACATGCGAAGTTCGCCCCGATGGGGTGGCCGCGAAGTCCGTCAAAAACCAGCGGAATTGAGAAGCCGACTCTGTGCGCGTCATCGACGCCCACCCACGGCCCACGTTCTCAAGTGCCTGCACCCGCAAGTCGTGAGGGACCTGATCTTCCAAGTTCAAGAGTCCTGTACACGTGATACCTCGTTTAATGCAAGCCGTGAGAAGCTCCTGGTCCTTGGTAGGGGCGGTCAAGGCAGACTCAGCCACCGCTTGAGCAAGAGCTATCGCCAAACAATTGCCGTTCGCTGGAGTGTTTATTTCCCGAAGTCCCAGAATACTCACAAGCTCGCCCATGTGGATGGGTTCCGCTAACGGCTTAGGATCCATGGGTATCGAGTGACATTGCCGATCCGGCAGCAGCTTTAAAAGCTTTTCGCAAGTCAGACGTTCCCGTCGCTGCTGGGTCAGGAGAGCCGGACCCGCGATAACTACCGCCGGGCCCCGAATACCGGCTGCTTGTTTCCGGGCCTGATCCTCCGGCAGAAGCCGAGAGTGGGACAGCCGTGCCGAAAAAGCAGGAGTCGAGGAGCCTCCAGTCCCCGGCTGCGGAGGTGCAGAGGCGACACTGCCTTCAAATGGGGGAAGACGGACCCTCCTCTGCCCTATCATCCTCCTGGAGAACGTGATAACTCCCGCTGCTGACGTTCAGCTGAGGCGGGGAAGGCTGAACTGGGGGCCAAGGCCGACGACCCCCTCGAAGGGGGCGTCTCATCCATGGCTGTTCGGGCCGGGGTTTTGGGGCCGGAGGAGGCGGGCCCGCGTGCGCGACATGAGTAGTATACACCGATTGGATAGGTATACCTGTTGGCTGGGGCTCGGCGGCCGGCGGTGGACTGGAAGTGGCGACCAGTACCGCCGGAGTCACCGCAGCTTGAGCCGCTGCATCGGCTGATTGCTGCACAACCAGTCGTCGCTGCGCCATTTGCCGCATTTCATCAGGGCTACTAAACGGTTTGGCCAGATCTTCAACAGCTAAAAGCTCGGCTTCGTGGACCTCCAGCCCGCCCGGCCCCCCGCAACTGCGCATCAGTAAACTGACACCTCGACGCCGGGTGGCCTAGCGTACCACATTGCAAACATTGGAGGCGACGGCCCACGTCCGGATGCCGGACGATAATGGGGGTCCCAAACCAAAGCAGTCTGACTACTCCTTGGAGAAAGGTCGGGCAACCCGCCAGATGAAAGGTGACTTTCCAGGCAGTGGACGTACGTGAGTTCGGGGTGCAGGTATCCATATCCTCCAGCTCAAAATCCGTTGGTATCTTGGAGCGGAGGTAGGCAGCAATGCGCCCAATATCATCAAACCGGGTGAGATTATACAGCAAAATGGTGTACGCTGCCCGAGGGTGGCTCGACCGCCCGTCTGGTCCCCGCTGATTCAACCAGACCGAGCCCCTGACCGGGTGATGAACATTCTCGAGCGTGTACGCCCTCCCCTGAAAAGGCACTACGACATCCTGGTGCGCCTTAGCAATGGCTCGCGTAAAGAAATAGAAGTGGATTGAACGGGTAGAACGATTGTAGCTTATCGTCTTGGCCAACCCGAGGAAACGGTGAAGATCCGGCAAGCAGACCCGCAAGATTTCCGCCGATTCCAAAATCTTCTCCGTAATAGCGTGGGTCGTCCGGCGTCCAATTGGGATATCACGACCATGTCTAAGTTGTAAGACTAACTGTCCCTCGACCTGCGCCTGAACAGTCCGACACAACCGAAGCCGCTCGTCGCTGTCGAAGACAGAATTGAGAAAATCAGGCAGCCGACGACAGGCAATAAGCCCTTCCGCAATCCCAATGATGATGCGCCATTCATCATCTGTACCCTCGCGCAGACGGTGAGTACCTGTCAAGTTAAGGCGCGTTGCGCAAATGGCTCGGAGCGTGGTCGTCTCTTCCTCCGAAAAATGTGCCGGATCAAACATAAAGTCATCGAACACGGGACGCTGCTGGCCTGTCGTACTGGCAGGTGCAGCAGCACTGCCTGTCTGCACGACTTGAGACCACAGCCGCGGGATTGGAGCCACAGCCCATTTCTGTCGGCTGGCCAGCTTGCGCAAGATTTCTTTGAACGCCCACTTCGTGACGAGGATCTCCTTACTGATCTGGTGGGCTAAACGGGTCCAGTCGACGTAGCGGCCGGATGTCACAACAAAACATTGCTTAAACAAATCCAGCAAACTCACCAGCTCGGTACTTGTGAGCTTGGGATACCGTTTGCGTTCGGCCGGCAACGCGTCGAAGCTGACTGGAAGGCGGGCAAATTCCAGCGCAAATAACTCCTGGATGGTCTGGCGCCAGACATCTAGGTACGGGGGCCCCGAAGAAGCCTTCATCGCCGCGGTAAGGGCCTCAAACATGTCGCGCGGATGAACTGGGGGGCGTGAAAGCCTGCGAAGGCGACGAGGAGGACTCGGAACCCTCCCCCGAAGCGCGCCCGGTGGGTCCGTCTTGCCGCGGCGTTACTGCATCTGTCTTGCCGCTACGCAGCGGCTGGTCTGCCATGGTGAAGGAAGCATCCCCTGCCAAGCCTGACTCCCTAGCCACTGAGGGGGTCGGCATCTGAGAGTCCGCGAGAGGAGAAGATACGGCGTGCCCTGGAACCCCTGTCCCGTGAGCAGAAGATGCGGCGTGTACTGGAGCCCCTGTCCCGTGAGCAGCAGATGCGGCGTGTGCTTGAGCCCTTGCCCCGTTTGCAGAGGATGAGGGGCTACCAGCGGAGAGAGAAGGAGCCTTCTCCGGAGGCCCCGCGTCCTCCGGTAAGTCGAGGGCCGGGCTAGAGTTTCCCAAGTCGTCCGGCTGGCCCCTTGGCAAAGCCGCGTCCCCCCCCCTGTCGGGAGGGGGGCATGGTGGCGGCTCCAGAGCCGTCGTTCGAGAAAAGCTGGCTAACGCCAGTTCGTGTACTGTTTATACTCCCCCACCCAGCACTGCAGATTGAAGAGTGAGACGCAATTAAATCGTGACGAACACGGACGCAGCCATTACTTTTGTTACTCACGTTGAGTCTTCAAGTGTAAAAAGCCAGGTGACGATGTCATAGAAGTGAGGGCGAAAGAGATGAGGATGTTGTTGTAGACCAGAAGTCAAAGACAACCGGAACATGTGTACTCGCGAGGTACTGTCTCACTTAACACGTTCGTAGGTTGCAGCTCGGATCAAAGCTGGTGAGTAGCACGCGCTTTGCATTCCTTCCATCACCGGAACCATTGGTTACCATCGTTTAAACGATACAGTAGGATGATGCGTAGCTGGTTCCCTTTCGATCACTCATGACTTGTGGCGACTTTAGTAAACAGCTATGGGACGTTTCGTGTTATTGCTGCTACCAGTGCTGCAGAGAAGGCGTGTTTATGCAGCCACTTGTCACGTGTGACGCGCGGGAAAAAACACGGCGGTTACAATGGTGGACATGGTAGATTGATTGACGTGAAGATCATTCGAGCGATGCAAAGTATACACTGGGTTCGCAGAAACGGATGAGAACAGGTCGCGGCGCTGTCTGAAGCAGGTAACGCGACAGTGCGTAGCCGATCTGACGAGTACTATCGTCTCCAACTGCTACGATCACCCATCCTTCAATCGACATTTCTGGCTCGGGGTCTATTGTTGCTATGATGTTTGCCAAGATGCTGCTTCCAGCTGCGAGCAACTTGGCGCCAGCAGTCAAGAAACTGCTACCAGATGTAGTCGATGACGCTGAACTTGACTGCCTTTGTCTTTTACTGCTGTATATGTGCCGGATGTTCAAGTCCCTCTTGACAACTGCAGTCCGACCATCAAATGAAGTCTCGATTTCGAGCCCTAGTACGGTTTCGGAAAACTCGAGCTCAACTTCATCCGGCAACAGCTCAGCCGGTTTTTGCTCGATGTGCCTGATACCGTCCATGACGAACAGGTCATAGCACTGGCCGAGATACCCATCCGGCACTTCTGCTCTCGCTGAGCCACTTTCTCCAGCTCCTAGTCGATGGTAGTTGCGTACAAAGTCAGCTCGCGTCATCTTGAACTTGCGCGACAAGTTCGGGTTGTGCGCGTCCGTGTTTAGCAGCAGTACTGAGAACGCCAACGTGTACGCTGCATCTTCCGATGGACACTCAAAGCTGTCTGGGTTGCTCGTATAGTAAGCCTTCGCGAAAGCCTGAAGAATTCGGTCGATCTTCTGAGCTTCATGTGGAAGCTCGAACCGACCCAAGTATACACGAAGAGCAACATCAAAGGTCACACCTCGGAACATGAACAGACTCGCGTATTCATACAGCACTTGCTGTGCCTTTGCATCCGGTTCGCCCACGACGTGTCCAACCTGCCGCAAAAAAAGGTTGGCAACCTTCTCACTTTATAACTGCCAAAAAGGCAGCGACAATAACGTGACGAGTAACTACAGACCGGCACGAACCAGTTGAGGATCCACGTGCGCCATATCGTGGAGCATGGTGGCGATTTCCCTCGGTGTCGATAGATTCTCCATGTCTGATAATCCCCGTCGACTGGTTACGTTATTCACTTGGCTTGATACCTGGGATCGAGGTGTTGTCGACGCATCGCTGGTGGACGCCGAAGAGCGTTGCGAAGGCGTCGGGGTCTTTCTTAGCTAGAGTTCAGTATCAGAGAGAACAAAGAGATTGAGTGGTGCCGCTTGCAGTGAAAAGGGACAAGAGCCATACAATTGAGTGAACGGACCTCTTCGTGGTCGCCCATCGGTGCTGCGACGCTTCAGTGTACCCCGCCTTTGAGTCTATTGTAACCGATTGGGTAATTTAGCAGATGTGGAGCTATGTGGTACAGCAGGAGCCCAATTCGTGTACCGACTTCACACGTTGTACAAGCTAGATGTGATTGTAGCTCTACCTGCAAGTGTTGGCTGGAAAACTGTGGATACCTGTACTTATAGGTACAAGGGAATAGGGAAAGAGCCTGTGTAAAACTCATTTGCACCTGATCAGGGACAGCATGAGGATTGTGCTCCAAATATTTGTACCTACAAAGATTGATCTGAGAATGTAGGTACTGCTATTTGTACGTACAAATATTGCAGAAGAGAACGCGATCAACTATAATTGTACGTACAAGCTAGGGACTCAATGTAGGTACAGTCAACCTTCTCTAAGAGACTCTTACGAAAGACACCTTTTATGTAAGAGTCACAGCGTTGCCAAATATTCAAACTATATCAGGGTTTGTATCCGGTTCTCTTCATTAGCGATATAGGTATAAGGCACGACAAACACTCACCCATTTGAGTGGAAACCCTCTTTATATGACTCACTATCCCTACTTCTGCTGCTTAAAAAACGTGGCATATGATGCGGCAGTTGTTCTAGCCAAAGATTTACCAGAACCTCAAGTCGATTCAGCAAATTCATAGGACCTTGGACGTGACCTAATAGAAAGACGTGAAGCATGTCATAGTATGCGGGCTCGTGACGCACTAGTTGCTTTTAAGATCATGACGACAATTAAGCAGACACCGATTATATACTGGAAAAAGTACCAAAATACCCATGACAAATGCCGAAAAGACGAAAATGCCTCTGTACTTTATAATTGACCAAAATGCCCCTGGCTAAGCCTAGGCATCAGATGCTGGCAAAATGTCTTTTCCCAAAGCTTAGTAAGATCCATGCGCTCACGACAAGTAGAGCTATAATGCTCAGGTTATTTGCATCAGCCACAACGTGCGGGAAGCTTTCCCAGGCCTTCCTCTTCTCTACGTACTCGCTTTTTCTTCGGGTATCACGGTGGGCGCCGTGTACGCGGTGGGGTTACGCGTACTTCTTCCCCGTCCTTATCTATCACGTCAGCCCAAAAATGCTTTCATCGCCAAGCGATTGTACCGTTTCCACGTACGTGCACCGGTATGCAACTACCGTAAAGTAATCTTTTGCTTTCTGCCGCACGTTCATTCGACATGATAGTAGTGCAGCTGCTGCGTGGTGAGAAGGATAACCTGGTGATGAAGATGTGCTATAGTTAATAAAACGAGTCATCAAAAACACGTTGCAAATTGTATCTGAGAAAGCTCACCTTGTACCTGCCACATGAGTGGCAGGTACAAGGTGAGCACTCATGATGCCGAATATTGACAGTCCAATTCCGTCCTCCAATATCACCTCGTATTCATGATCAGCCGCACCTATAACCCGGTAGTGCCTGGCGCGCTCGATGGCAGTTCCGATCTTTCTCTCAACTGAGGGAACACGTAGCGAGGGCCATTCATCTGCCTTCCGTCGCCGCTCATCGAACCAGACCATCAACTGATGGCGGATCCTTTTCCCACAGTGTAAGAATATTCCAAAATGGTTAAAATTTGTAGCTCGAATCCATTCTGCAGACTTCAGCAGCAACCTACCTCAACATCACCATTACGATTGGGAGCTCACGGAATTCCAAAATCCAATTGTTAAGCGATTCCGCGATAGTGGAGATCAGATGTCCCGATCTTTCCATCTCAACCGCGCTGTTGAACCAAAGATTTTTGGCTAAGCCCACAATCTACTCTTTTAGTTCAATTGGAATTTCTTCAATCTCGCTCATCTTAGCGTCGAATTCCACGTCAGTCAATGCATAAGCGGACTGCCACAAGAGCTTCACGAATCAGACATGTTTGATTACCACCCGATAGTTTTCGCTGAAGTTCCACATGCAAGTCATGGTATGCATGAGTGTAACGGGGTAAATCGTTACATAACAATTTATAAGAAATTGTTATTAGAATATAACTAAAAGAGTTATATTCTCAGAATATTGTCGTAAGGACAAATATTCTGTAGCACTTACGAGTAGTTCCTAATGGGTTGATTTAGGCCATTATATCAACCAACGAAGACGCGCCACGACAGACGCACGCAATGAGTGGTGAGCAGATAGTTGATTTACACATTTGTATTTAGACATAGTTAGATGAGGATAAACAGTGATTTATTGCAGACATTAACTATTATAAATACAGTTCTACTTTTTACTTTAACCAAGTACTCGCTTCTTCTTACCGTCTTCCTCTGCACGTACGGGTGTACGTGAAGTTCCGAGCACCGCCTTATTCTGTCATCAGAATAAGTAGCTTGTACTGCTAACAGTACAAGCTTCATAGTGCCCCGTTACAATGAGGGCATATTTCCTGATCTCCGTCGATCATCCCTTTCTGACCGTCGAAAAGGAAGGTCAGACGCTGCAGATTTGAAGGATTTGCTTCCAGAATCGTCCGTTGCCCTGATAAAAATAAAACCTAGGTCTCATCGTATTAATCATCGATGACGGCCATTGCCAGTGGAAGGAGAGCGCCGTCGCCGGTTACAGCCGTCGCCAGTAGGAGCGTCCCCAAACATTTTGATCTTAGGTGGGTTCCATCAAGGCCCAGTAGTGGACGGCATCCTGATCTAAATCCTGCAATCGACGCTTGGTAGACAACAAAAAAGCGCCGAAAATGATGCTCGGACCCAGACGTGTACACGACCGCAACGCTTCATGTCCCGGCAGTCATTGCATCCGCAAAATACTGAGATTTTCGGCAGGCAAATAAAACGAACACCATCCATCCACGGCCCTCACCTCCGTTTGTCAAACGAATTTGCCTGTAGTACACCGATAGACTTTCATAAGCATTTTTGCAGGAGCCATGAAAAGTTTTCATACTCCTCACTTTTCCTCTCCAGGCTTGCTTTTATGAAATCGTGACTCCGTGCTCGCGACAAACATCTTGGATGATTTTCTTTGTTTTTCCGAGTGTTGTCACGCAATGAGCCTTAACTTCACTCGCAACACAAGAAACTGATGCCTGTTGGTGGCCAAGGTCAGTCACACCTTAGCAAGAGTATTTTTCTCGCAGAGTACTGATGGTGAACGTTGGTGCGTCGGCAAGATTTGCAGTGTGCAGCCTCCAGGAGAAGCCTTCTTGCACGCAAGCTACGGTGAAGCACCATTTTTCACTTTTTAGCACCACAAGCTCGAACGCTCAGCGATGGCACTCGCGTTGACTGCTTTGCAGCAGCTTTTAGCATCCGCTACCCCGTTCAACGGTAAGCTAATATTCCGCCATAATTTGCGCGGAGAAGTTGCGAGGCCGGGGAGCGGTGGTGAGGTAAAGTGATGTGATTATAGTGTGCGCAACAGTATTTATTGCGTATTTACATATATAGGCTATAGCCAGGGGCATTTTGGTCACGTATTAAAGTACAGGGGGAAATGTATCTGCCAGCATTTGATGCCTAGGCTATAGCAAGGGGCATTTTGGTCAATTACAAAGTACAGGGGTATTTTCGTCTTTCCGGCATTTGTCGGGGATTTTTGGTACTTTTCCATTAACAAATTTAGTAAGACTATAGGCAGGCAAATGAAATATTCAGTATATACAACAACAACACTACATTTCTAATCCAAAACGTCCAGACAGAAAATATTACCTCTTGTCGACATCAAGCACGTGCAACTAATACATCAATTTAGCGAGAATACCGCTCACTAGAGAATAAGTACAAAGTCTTTTAACACTGCAAAGAACGCCCAAAGTGGTGATTTAGCGAAGTGCAGACGTACATAAGCATTCCGCTGTAGCACCACATAAGTATATAAAAAAAGGCGCATCGTTCAATGGCCATAAAGGAAACTTACTTTGAATGATAAATATTATAACCAAATAAGAAACGTTCTGTAAAGCATTCTGAGTTCTCGAAGGAATTGATAGTGTTCATTTACGGCGCGATAGTGACGGGCTGTCCGAAGATCTGGCCCTGAAGGAGCAAAATTGACTACGAATGAGCCATGCTATCGGCTTTTATGATCTTACACTTTAATTAAGGCTGCCTTTAGAGTTTTAGGGATAGGAAAATAATAAAACCTATGCGTTCACCAACGAGAGAGGGAGCTTATGTACTACGGAATTTCAAGCGGCAAAGTCTAAAATCCGATCTTAATTAATGTTAATTAATGTTATTTTTTGCAAAATGATGTCTTTAACTGTAATGCTACAAAATTATGGTATGACTTGCCACCGCACAACATCCTATGCAGCTCGAAACAATGGCGAAAAGAGCGTAAAGGACGCATGAATGATCTCTCTGCTGCACCGAAGTGCTTCTAATAATATGGAGCCCTTCATCATCGGAAAGTCCAAAATCCACGATGTTCTTAAGATGTAGAGATCAAGAAGGGTGGCATCGTATGCGCTGCAAACTCAAATGCCTGCGTTACTGGAATCATCATTAAAAAGTGGCTGCACCAATTCAACCTCTTAATGCACGGTCAAAAAGAACTACTTCTTTTCGACAACTTTTCAGTCACAAAGTTCGGCGAGAACTCAACAACTCCACCGTGGTCTTTTCCCGCCGAACATGACTTACATCATCCGACCGCTCGTTACGCACTAGTATCATGGTTTATATATGCACATATTCAAATGGAAATTAATATCTACAACTGTTAAACGCTTGCTACAGTAAACTTTATATGCGATAGCGCATGGATCTGATTCTAGGAAAGATGGAACGCAGACTTAATGTCCTATAATCAATTGAGTTTGCAGTTGAGGGCTAGAACGCTAATGGTGTGGGATTTATTCAAAGTTTCTGGATCAGAATTTAGACAATTGAATTGCCACAAATTGCAAATTAGCGTGCACCAATGGTTATCGTTAGTCCAGTCTCGCCTTCCAACAAGACTGATGCAATCTGGATTCTCTAATTTTAATTCCAGGAGTAAGCGAG